TTCAAGTGTCAGTTAATTTTGTTTTAGTCTTTTTTATGGAATTGTTGAAGTATAGCTCGCAAAATTGCAGGAAAAGAAAAATCAAGTGAACGATTTTGATGTTTCTAATTCTGTTTACCATGCAGAATTGAGTGGCAAAGATTTTACCCTCTTCCTCATACACTTCTAGCACTATTAAAAAAAAGTTGAATGATTTTTTCTCACAAAAATCTAATTTAAAAAAAAAATGACCATCTAAGGTATGGCCTCAGTCTCATAAATTTTGTATTTTTTTTATCTGCCTCATCGTTATACTGAATGTTGTTAAGTCAAGCTTTTTAAGGGATTTTTTCTGGAAAGTGATTTTTGATGTTGGAATTTTTGTATGAATATTTTTGACTCCTTGAAGGTTTGCCTTAAATTCAGTTTTTGCCGTTTCTCCTTTTCTTGACCCTTCGATGTCCCAAATATTTAGCAGCCCTGCTAAAACTTGTACAGTAGTTGCATAATATTCAGACCTTGTATAGTGCCCAATATGTGAAACTCATATTTTTGTATTCATTATTTTTTATCCGTAGACTCATTAATGGGTGTTTGCCCGGTAACTTTTTGGCTCTCAAAATTATGCCTTACCCCCTCCCCTCCTCAGCTCTTGTGTGCAAAGTCTCTCTTTTTTTAAAGTCTAGGCGATACTCGGAAAGTAGACATACTTTATCCGCTAATTATCTGTAGACTGAATTTTTTTTCTCATTCAATGATAGCCTGGTTTGTTTACATGGTTAATTTTACCAGCTCAGTAAAACAATATGGCAGAACTGATTAGATAATTCTAACTAGATTCAATTCATAACAGTGTAGTAATTAATGTCAAATTTTTAAAGTTTTCATTTTCCCCTCGGTCTAGTTTGTTTATCTGGCCATTAATATTTTAAAAAAATGTGAGGCATTTTGAATGAGGTCTTTACGTTTTTTTAAAGACGTAACTCTGCTTATGCTCTCTCGACTGAAGCTTTCTCCGTGAAGATTTCCTCTCCCTTTTTTTCCAAGGTATTCAGTTTTTATTAGCTTTATTTCAAGGGTCTTTACATTCACTTTTTTATGAGTTGTTTGTATTCAAACTCAATACAACTTCACACAATAATTTATAAGCAAGGCTGTGCGTTTTTAGCCTAACATCCTTTTGAATTTAATGTTTTTATAGTGTGTGGTGATTTTGTCTAAATTTCGAACCAGCACTGATCAATGTTAAATGAGGCCATTTTTATGCTCCAATTGTTTGCGCTTCCCTCTTCTTTATCTCACTTTTCGCATTTTTATGAACTTTAAAAACTGAGCCAACATTGACGCTTTTCTTTGCAAAAAAGAAAAAACCCCTCCATCACAGCATTTTAGTTTCATGTCCAAGCTGAATTTTTCTTGCAAATTCAGCATTTACACACATCCAACTTTTTTTCTCCAAGCTACAATAATTTCTATTAAGTCTGTCAGTCAACAGTAACTGTAAATGTAATCTTCATAAATTTATCGGAAGAAGCATGTAGCACTTTTACCTCTTTTCCTAATTAAAATCTCTAAAATCGAATTTTATTGTAGATGATCTGGTATTACATAAATACTATTGATTCTTACTTCTCTTATTCCTGTTTAACATTCAAAACAGGTGTAATTTTTTCGATAACTTCAATATTGACGTCTCTGTTTTTAATTTTTCAACTCCAGACTTTAACTAAAGTAATTGTTAATATTATAGCTCATTTAGCTCTTTTTCCCATAGGTTGTTGTACTGAAAATCATCAGTAGAATAATGTGAATTGGTTTGTGTGACTTAAAATATCAAAGTTTCATTTTCCTAAAGTGATTCAATCCATTTTTCCTTTGCTTTGACCTTTTCAACAAACGCGCAACTGAATTTTTAATATTGTATAGAAAAACTTCTCCTATCCTTCACTTACGAGATTTTTTTTGTTTTGTTTGTTTTTGATCTTCTAATGCTCTACTGTAATGTAGACACTTTAGTCAGTCTATGGATTTCTTCCGCTAGTCTACCACTGTAACAGTATAGTTAACCAGTACTAATAAAACTATTAAAATGAGAATGAACTACATAGTTGTATGTTCTTACTAGTATTAATTATGTATTTCTTATTTTATCATTTAAACTCTGTTCGTCTTTTGTTAATGTTATTTTTAATATAAAATTGCACAACTACCTAAGATGTTTTTATTTCAACCACTCAATTTTTTCTTTATCCTCCTCGTTGAATTGTACTTTATTTCATAATACAGATGCCATGTCTAAAGACATTTCAAAAGTTAACTCAAGTTGCATCTTCTGATTTTGCATTCTGTGTTGCAACAGTAATTACCACCCGTTATATCGATGGCCAAAGTACGAAACCACCTATCTCCATTTGTGACGTTGCAGATTTCCTGTCATAGGTACTTTACTTTTACTGCTGAAAACTAGTCAACGTAATTTTTAGAAAACTTTCTTGATCATTCCTCATTGTTAGAAGAATGCTCTGTAAGAATTTCAAACTATACGGTTGGGTTTTTTCTCCTCGAAAAATAAAATATGCGTGTACATTTTGATGAAACATTGCAGTTAAGATATGTCATTTCACTTTTTTGGCCATCGATACTGTCATTCTTTAATGAATTTGATAGGCTTCAACCAGAATCAATCGAACTGCATTTTATATTGCTTAACCTTCTCTCAAGTGTAATTTTATTAACCAAGAATCTGTAACACTCTGCTTTTGAATTTGATGAGGGGCATTTTCATGATCCTCAGAAAATGTCCAGTAAGTTTCCAGATTTTAGTCACGTCACTTTTAGTTACTTATTCAAAAACCAGACAGAGCAAAAACAACCAATGTGGAGTACAGATATGCCATTTCCATTTTAAGCTCTCCTGCTCATAGGGAAATGAGAAGAATCAGTTGGTGTTGCCACTAGTTGAAGCCGTAATTGATCAGTCTTGGCTACTCATACCTACTCTTGATAGAGAGCGTGTCTCCCAGCGCTCTGCTAGTTTTCATACATGTTTCCAGTCTTTCCTTCCAATCAAGTAGTACAGGTTACACTCAATGCTATTTTATCTGATCAAATCATTGCCACTACATCGGAGTGTTACGTATGTTGCATGACTGCTAATTGAAGGGGCTCCGCTTGATGAAACTAACTGTAATGAAATTGAAACAAATTGCGAGTTTTCTTTGCACTGCAAGTAGTGCAAGTCACCCATCGTTTGCCTGGGCGTTCAAAATTGCCAATTATAGATATTGTAATGTACAAATATAACAGTTGTATGGTAAAATATTTGCAACTTGAATAAACTTCATCAAACCAATAGATAATGCGAATAATTGACAATGTCGAAGTCCGCCTTCAATTCTCCAGTATAGACAATAAACCTACCGGGAAGTTCGAATATAGTTGCACAATTGGATCGATTTCAAAATCGCGCAACCTCTCACTTTCTTTTAAAAATACTTAATATGTATGCGGTATTCACGATTAGCTTCCTCAGAATTTGACAATTTGTCGGTGGGAAGTGAAAACTATCTGCTATTCTGGGAGATTTTTTAGATATAATTATGAAGAAGCAACATTTTTACAACACTAGCTGTCATCGCGCTGGTTCCTTTTTGTTAAATGTGATCCAATTGTGTCGATCCACGGGCGGTGAATGAGGTCGACGGTGAAACTACCAAACCACGTATCTCGGTTTGCGACGTCGCAGACTTCCTGTCATACTTTATTTTTTAAATGAAAAACTACTTAACGTCCAGTCTTAAACATTTCTGTGATTTTTCCTCTTCGTGCGAAGAAAATTCTGTGAAAATTTCAAGGAATGATATTGATTTAGTCTACTTCAAAAAAATAAAATGTGAGCGTAGATTTTTAAACACCGCAAACGAGATACGTGGTTTGGTAGTTTCACCGTCGGGATACGGCTTGTTATAGTAAATCCTCGAAAACTGAAATTTCCAGATATTTTAGATTAAATTGCGTGCAAAATTGCCTGAAATTTTTTGGGAAAAATATTCGCAATTTTCCTAATAAATTCGGTTTTTATCGAAGGAAACTTAGCAACGTTTGAAGGCTCATACGGCCAGGGCAGGATTTACCTACTTTCCGCCCATGGGCCGTCTGTATTTTGCCGCCCCCTTCTCATTCGTTTTGAAACATCAATAAAAACCATCAAGTGAACATGCCGGAGGGGGAGGGGTGCATAAGACGCGTTTACCTACTCATGTTGGCGATACATTTTTTGCGAAAGCCCTGTCAACACTACTAGTAAAATTTCACGAAACTTTGCACGAAAGTTAAGTTCCGTAAACCTGTCTCTAAGTGGACAAGGTCCTCCATTTATAAGAAATGAACCAAAAAATTACGAAAGAACAAACATAAATATATATGTGGTTTAATAATTTTAACTTATTCTTCCGCCGCTGCGCCTGCGCCACGCTGATATCACTGTGTTTGGCGCAATGCGTGAAGTATTCTTGCAGTCTTGTAGGCGCCAATATGTGTTACATGCCGACCGCCGCGCCGCACCGAGGGCTTGTCCTTTATTTCTTTTCAAGTCCTCGTCATCATTCCTCTCTACGCTGAGCTCCAGGCCAAATTGCGTGTTAAGTTCCTCTCTTAACTCGACTAATTAAAGATTGCTGTCTCTTATATCACCGAAAAACGGAACAATTCGAAATTACTATACTCTCAGGAAAGAGAGATTTTCTCCCCTTTTCTCAATGATAATTTTTTTTTCTAAATCCGATTTTTTTTACACCTACATTAAAAAAAATTGCAAAATTTGCCGCCCCCTAAATTTGCCGCCATGGGCCGCGGCCCGAATGGCCACCCCCTTAATCCGGCCCTGCATACGGCGTTCTTCCTTAGCACGGCAGCTCAGCTGCGCTCTATATGAAGCAGTGTTTGCGGTTGCTTGGTTACAAAATAACACGGTAGCATCCTCGTGTTATCCTTGTCGAATTCTCGAGGTTTTAAGCGTCCGGTATGTCGTGGCAACAGTGGTTCTTCAAGTATTTCTAGTAAAGGATTCTGCTTACATTCCTAACTTCGTCCTACCTAGATGTTACCGCTAGACGACTTGTTATATTTCAACTCCGTCATATATTTGGTTTTAATTCCTCCATCGTCCCTCCGAATCTTTACTTGTCGATTGAACCCACGAAAATGGAGTCTGAATGTATTCTCACACCGGGCGAGATAGATTTTTACGCTGCGAGTATACAACCGTCAGATTTTGAAACTATCGGAACATCGAGGTAAAACTCTCTGATATATTCACAGATTACCGGCCTCTCATGTGATTTGCGAACAGCAGAGGTTTGCTCCAACGTATCAAACCTTTAAAAAACACTTCTCAATATCCCTGAAAAACTGTCATAGATAGGAACTATTTTTCCGGAAGTCCTTTAACTTACTTATGCTATTTTTTAAAGGTGAATTTTCATTTTTAAAAAAAAAAATCGCAAGAAACACATGTTTTTAGGGTTTTGTCTTATTTTGTCAAACATCTTAAATTTTAAGAAACTGCAGTAAATTTTTAAAAGTTTTAACACTTTTTTTTTACTCAACCCTTAATGCCCAGGACTTTGATGCGCAAAGTTCCAAGTTGGGTCAAATCGACCCGTATTGATTTTGACACTTTTTAAAGCATGGACAAGGGCGCCAGTTAACGGCGCAGAGATACAACTATTCGTGTTTGATGGATGTCCGTGTTGCGTCTGCAAATGTGAAGGCGCGATGGCGCCAGGCGTGAGCCCGCACTGCTTCGCTCTATGCTGCTAGGCTGCTTGTAAGGTGTCGCTCAGATTTGACTGAAAAGTTGAAAACGAGGTCGGATTACGTCTCTCGTATCTTCGGCTGTTGCTCAAGAAGCTCTTTAAACACCAACGTATAAATAAGACAAACGGAACCGTTGGTGTTGAACCAACACAACATGGAAATAGAGCATGGGAAAGGACGCGCGTTGATGACGGCGCAGAGATACAACTATTCGTACTTGATGGATGTCGGTGTTGCATCTGCGAAATTGAAGGCGCGAAGCGTGAACTCGCAAAGCTCCGCTACATGCTACCGATGAGGTGTCGCTCAGATTCGGGATTAAAGTTTAAAACCGAGGCCCAAATACATCTCTCCTATTTTCGGCTGTGCTGTTGGCATTGACACAATAAATCTTTTTCTTTTTTGAAAATGATTAATATCCGTAAAAAAAAATTGAGTAATGTCATCCGCTGATTCCCGAGACCAGGAGAATTTTAATGAGTCTAAAAAGCGCCAATCCAAATAATTAATTTATCAACAAAATACTTATTTATTTTTTCCAGCTGGTTTGAGGCGCATGAGAGACTGCAAAGGTTATATCAACAGGCTACTTTAGAGGCGTCAAAAAACATTGAAGAACATGTTAAGGAAGCCATCATTTCCAACTTGAAAGTAGGTGATCCCCGCCCAACACGGAAATATTTTAAAAATATTGCTGAAATATTGTCAAAAACATTTTATCAATATTTTAACAATATCGAAAAAATATTGCTGCAATAGTTTGTTGTCCGCCCCCCTGACAATATTGCAGCAATATTGTCAAGGTAATATTGATAATATATTTTAAAAATATTTACTTGCGATGAGGTTATCATATTCCATATCCGTGTGCGCGCACTCTAAAGGACGTCTTTGGTACTTATTTTCTTTCTAATGTACACATGCGTCCAGATTGTGGATCGTAGAGTTGTTACTGACCTTAAAATCCGCGCCGTCCTAGTCGGGATTAGAACCCACGCCTCGGGGTGGAGTAGATATCCGAAGTCCAGTACTTTACCACCAGACCAGCCAGGCCTGATGTAGATGGGCCCGTAAATTCAATCTCTTAACTATCGCAGGCCTCTGAGTCCGTAATATGTTTGTTTATTGACGGATTCTTATAATATTTTACCAGAATTTATTATTTATTATTTATTTATTATTTTTTATTTCATCCTGTAATTTGTGTTTCAAATTCTTTATTAATTGTACTCATATTCCTATTCATGTATTACAAATTTTCGTTTGTTTTAACTCTCTCTCATTTTTTTCTTTACCAAATTACTGTTTTTTATAATTGCGTCTTTTTCCAGTTTTAATTATTTGAGCTTTTTCCTAGTTTGAATTTATGTCGATGTATTTATGTTATGTTATTTATTTTTTCCCTTCTTTTTGTCTTTTCTTCCCCCCCCCCTTTCTTTTTTCTAGCGATTGATTTTAGTAAGTTCCGCAAAATAATTGGTAAACAGAGCAAAACCATACGCTAATTTGGCAAACATTTTGAAAATCTAGCAAAAATTTTAGCCATAATAGCATAAACTAGTAATGTTAATTTCGCAAAAGTATAGTTTGCCATTTTCGCACAATAAAATTACCACTTTTGCAAATTGTTTTGTCGTTCTCGCCACGAGGGTGGGCATTTTAGCAAAAAAAGCAAATTGCAGAAATCGCAAACCATTTTTTGCCATTTTAGCAATTAATTTTTAAATATTACAAAAATATTTATAAAATATTTTTAACATAATATTAAACAAATATTTTTAAACTAATATTTCTAAAATAATTTTAAAATATTTTGTAAATATATTTTACAAACTGTTTTAAAAGTAATTACATAAATATATTTTGTAAATATATTTAAAACATTTCTATAAATATATTGTTACAATATTGTCATGAAATATTTTAGCAATATTGTCAACATATTTCTGCAGTGTATTTAAGGAAATATTTACATGACAATATTGTTTCAATATTGACAATATTGCTGCAATATTTCGTGTTGGGCGGGTCATGCTTTACACATACTCATACACATGCAATATTATGTAAGTACTGTGGAGGGTAAGTAGGTACTTGCAGTTATATGCGAATCGAGTTGCTTTAAAACTCAAACAAGATCACTGGTATTTTATGATCAGAATAATAAAAAAAGCTTTTTTTACGATTTTAACAATGATGGAACATCCATTGCCAAGAGTTCGTGGCTTCGTAAGAAGGAGAGTAGGTAAGTAGTAGAGGTTACCCCGGCGCACAGTAGATCGAGTCAATGAGAGAGGTCGTACTTTGGAAACTTTAAAAGCTTAAACTCCGTTCATACAAAACTTTGAAGTCTTAAAAGTGGTTCCATTGGTTTCCTAGTGAAATTTTCTTTCAGAGCTACCCCTTGAAATTTAAATGTGACAAATTGAACGGCAAAATTTTCAGTTTTAGTTAAAAATTTCATGTCCAACCTTACCGATTGAGTCGATCCACTGTGCGGTGGAGGTTTCGAAAATTAAGAGTCCTTTCAATAATGGAACCATTCTCAAAATAACAGACTTTTTGCAAAAGCCCCCATACTCTTTGAAATCCACGGATTTGTAACTTTATACAATCATGCTATAGTTGCAGATACTGGTCTACGAGGCAGTCTTCATCTCTGTGTGGAAACAACGAATCCTCCCTCGGATTTTGAAACAAAACCCGAACACGGAAAATACATTCCCCATTTATATTATAGTAAGTTAAATTCCAAAAACGCTTAACATGCTCGCTTATTTATAGATGGTTTTCTTGTCTCCTCTAAAATTGTGCAAAACCATTAAAATTCGTTGTTAAGTTCGAGGGAGTAAAATAATACTGCATAGGAACTCTGTGCCCCTTCAATCTAGTGTGACGCAATTTGAGTTCTTCATGAGTTGGATTCCACGAATCACGCATCTAAAATGATTTTGATGCGTAGCTTTTTAATGTTTGACCAGAGATATTTAAGATGAAAGCCTAATCACATTTACAAGTAAAAAAAAATTGTTTTAAAAAAAAGAAAAAAAGAAGCATGTGCAGTTTTTTGAGTCTCTATAATTATTCTAACCATCTCTAAACTAACGCACGATCAATGGACAACTTTTTGGTCACTTTAATTTAAGATAAACCGCGAAATGCTTTACAATTCCATGTGGTTTTTGATAATAAATATATTTTAATTTATGTTCCCTCTACACGCGCCAAATAAGTTAGGTAAAACCTCTAAGAGTCTACCTCAGTATAATCTGAAAAATTTTGAAACAAGATGGTTTTACTGAGGAAATTTTGATAAGGTAAAATGAGAGTTTGGTACCTAAGTACATGCAGCATCAAATCAATACATTTTCGAGTTGTTATAAGGATTTGAAATTTTGACCTCAAAAATATTTTCATTTTTTTTTCATAGTTCTATCACGAGGCAGTAGTGGTCGGTCTCCTTCAGACAGTCTTATACCATTCTGAGGGTTGTGAATATTTACAAGATAGCGCTGTGGAACTTGTCGATTATTGTATTTTGGTGCTTACAAGAATAGCAATAAGGTAACACACTGCTTATTTCTTCAACATAGTTTAACCTTTGAAGAGTTTTAATAAATGTACTTACTTCGATCTTACTTATAGCAAATAATGGACGTATATGGTTCAGCAATTTTCCGAGATTAGGTACTACATGCCTGGTCACATCGCACGATTTCGCGAAAGGCCCGGCACATCGCGATGAGCATATATTTCGATTTTTGCTCGTAACAGCCCAAGTGGCACAGTGCAACAAAATTAAATTGTATATAATACGTCTTGAATAAAATTGTAATTTTTTTAAATTACAATATTTGTACATCATTTAGTCGATTTATGCCGATTTTAAACAATCAACAAAATGAGTTCCATGTGTCAGAAAGATAGGCAATATGCAATGCAATGAAAAATGTCAACTTATTCCAATTTTATTATTGCAATAAGTTTCGATAAATGGGGCCCCTTCAAATAGGAGCTAGGCAACATACACAACACTCAATGAAATGGGCCTGTTGCATGCAAGAGATACAGCCGTGCGAATAGACTTTATAGAGGTTAAATGACATGAAAATTACGATGGTCACATTAAAAAAGTCTGAAATACACTCCTTACTGCGCAGTTTGCGTTGTTAGGAGCGCGCTTTTTCAAATTTCCCGCGTCTGGGGGCAGTTTTCTAACGGAAACAATTAACGGCAACTCGCGGCTATTTCCGGTCAACTAAAACTGACAACATAACCTAAAAATCGGAGCTTGTGATATCGTGAAATGAAATGTAGAAGGATTGCGTTGGATTTTTAAAAGTTGATTGATTTGGTGACCGCATAAAGCGTATATGGACCACTATAAGAGATCACGTTGGGTTTGTGAACAAACTAAAGGAAAAAATAACAACAACAAGAACAACGACTCGGCATCTTCCGGAAATCATCGAGCCCACCGTTTGCTCGTTTCCGGTGATTAGAAAACTGCCCCCAGACGCGGGAAATTTGAAAAACCGCAGTCCTAACAACGCAAATTGCGCAGTAAGGAGTGTATTTCAGACTTTTTTAATGTGACCATCGTAATTTTTGTGTCATTTAACCACTATAAAGTCTATTCGCGCGGCTGTATCTCTTGCATGCAACAGGCCCATTGCAATATTTTTACTGTGTAATTGCTACTTATTGCAATCTGTGCTACTTGGGAGAAACGTATATCGTAATCCTTATAGTTTGAGCGGCAATTCTAATGACTGCGATGGTTGCCTCAGTTCCAGAGATGCAAAAGAGTTGAAAAAGGACAAGCTGAAAGCTTCAACTTTGGAAGAGCTGAGAGCTCAGGAGGAAACCCTCTTGTTCGGCATCGGAGCAAGTTGTTTGGGCATCATTCGATACTTGGTGGAGAACCTGGATTGCGTGCCCGTGACGGTAGCCACGCGTTTGTACTCGGACAACGACGTTCCTCTCTTGGTTTGTCAGCTAATCGATCAAGAATCTTGGACGAGAAGAAATGCCAAAGGAGATACCTACAAGTATACAGGTGATCCACCCAAGTACTCAAGTCAAAAATATCGAAATAAAATTGGGATTTATTGCGATAAATTTAACATTTTTTCACCATGAAGCTGCAATATTTTTATACCTAAATCATTCAGACGTATTAAATTAATTTTTAAAAAAAATAATCTTCCTGCAACTATATGCCAGTTTTGAAATATGGGATTCATTTATGGTACCTACATATAATCATTGTCAAAATTTTGAATTAAATAAGTTGATTTTGTTTCCGTAGACAGCGAATGGAAGAAGATAACGGATGTGCAAGAAATGACAAAAACCGAGGCACAACTCTGGCTCGCAATGCATCAACTTTTACTGAATAAGCACATCATTCATCACTACGAACTAACAGAAAGCCGTAAAAACAGACTCGGGAGATTGAATAGATTCCTCCACGAACTGCTATTGGACCAACTTCCGCCTCTGATTGACTTAAAACGATGGTTGAGCCAGTTGGCGGTAGCTCAGGCAAGTTTGTAAAACCTGCTCCTTTGTCTATTGCAAATTTCCTCTTCGTCTTCTTTGCCTATGGTTTCGTCTATCACTGTCAATAATCAGCCCGCATTCTTGCATTACGAGTGGTGAACTGAGCACATCAAGGAAGAAGCCTCGGAGCGCATAACTGCAGATGCAACTTGAAATGTCATTGACTGTGCTCTTCCATAGTACCTACAACAGGAGTGCTCCTTCACTTTGATAGCTATGCAATTTGAGCTACGGAAGAGTTGAAATAGTCGCATCATTGCTCCTGTCACTCTCGAAACGCTGATCACAGAATCGCGTTTAAGTGACAATAAACGCGGAAATGTTTGTCTGTTTAGGCAGAGATGGAATAAAGTGAAATTTCAAGAAACTTTACGTGATTTTTCAATTCAATTCAAAATTTCAAAAGGCTCGAATAAATTTCACAAAATTTAAAATTTATTATATTTAAAAATATTTATATTTAATAATAATAATATATTAATTTATATTTAAAATTTATTTATTACTTCTTTCCCGAATTATTATATGAGAGCCATTGGAGATCAGGAAGCGCTTCACATGGTATTCCTGTTGATGCGGCTGTAATTTGCTACCCTCCTGAGGTACTATTCAAGGAGGGGGGGGGAGGTACAAAGGTGAGTTTAGAGAGAAAAATCCTAACTTAACCTCTGAATCAAACTGAAATATTTGTAAAGTGTGAATGTTTAAGGCTTTGAGTGATGTATTTCAAAATCTAGAATCACTGTTCCTAGGCGTTTCGTGGCATCTTAGATACGTCTCCAGCAGTTTCAAAAAAATGTGTGATTTTTCACGAATCTTCGCATGAAATTTTGTGAAATTTTGCGGAATAAATTTCATGAGATTTTCCATCCCTACGTGTAGGTGCCGACGATGAGCTCGAAGGGGGAGAGCGCACAAAGGAGAGTTTAGAGAGAAAGATCCCACCTTAACCTCTAAACCAAACGGAAATAAAGTGTGAATAAGTTGCAAAGTGTGAATGTTTAAGACTTTGAGTGATGTATTTAAAATCTAGAATCACGCTTTCTAGGCGTTTTGTGGCCTCTTAAATGCATCCCCAAAATTTTCAAAAATTTTGGTGAAATTTCACGAATCTTCATGAAATTTTGTGAAATTTTGCGGAATAAATTTCATTAAATTTTCCATCCCTATGTGTAGGTGCCGACGATGAGCTCGAAGAGGCCGTTCATCGTGGAGTTGTCGACGGAATTTCGAAGTGGACTGGAGACGAGCTGTGCGGGACGATGGGACGATATTGCCGAGGAACACGCGCGGCGCTTGCTCCAGCTTTCGCGGGCCGAAACGGTCAAACTGGCCAACAGCCTCAGCAACGCCTTCGAGTCGCTCGCCGACGTCTGCGACGCAGGACCCAAGTGTGCCAATTGCGGCGATCGCGCCTCGCAGAAATGTTCCCGCTGCAAGAACGAATGGTATTGCGGAAGGTCAGTAATACGTAGATTCATTTCATTTTTCAAAAATTCCTAAAAAAGAGAGAGAGANGGAAAAAATGGACCTCGGACCCTAGCCCCCCCCTCAAATTTTAGCGTACCCCAAAATCGTTTGACGCGCATAAGGAGACCATAGATATGGTGCTCTGTGCAAATTTTGAATGAAATTGAACAGATAGATTCTAAGATATCGCTGTTGGTACACAGATTTGGGGGACGCCGGACGGACGGACACATATTTTTTCAAGTATGGTTATTTTGACCCGAGGGACCTTAAAACGTCTAGAAATGATAAAATTTCAACTTTTTTCCCCCCTTGCAGGATGACAATACTTCGACCTCTACCCTAGGGGAGAGAGAAAGTGAAAACATTAAATGCTCGTTTTAGGAAGCCCTCTTGGACTAGTTTGGAACGGAAAATTTAACTTTTAGTCCTACTATTCTTATTTAAAAAATACTTAAAAATTTCGAGAAAACTGACTAATCCTACCTATAGTTGGAAGTGTAAAATTTACTGCGGTTGCATCCTATCCCGAGACCCACTGAACTCACTGAAGCTTCTTGAGCCGAGAAACACTATAAACCGACATGAGGTGTGTGACGTGCAAAACACTTTTTTGTACTCCTTTCAAGTTATATTGTTTTTGCAGCTCTATAATAATCGTCTTGTGTTTATGTTTATGTTTATGAATATTATAGGCCATGCCAGGTGAAACAATGGAAAAATCATAAAGAACATTGCAATACTGTCAGTGGTGTCAAAGAATGCGAAAGTTCATCGTGAGCAGTCGGATCACAGCCGTGAAAATGATCCTAGATTATTAAAACACAATAAAATATGTAAACCTTGACCATTTGTAAACTTCAGACGTGAAATCTATCATGTACGAATGATGTAAATAAAAATGTTAAAATTTTACTCTACCGTCCCAATTTTTTTTTTTCGTTTGCCTAGAAATTTTAACTCCTCCACGAATACGAAAAACCTACGGCTTAAAAAAATGGCAGGTTGAAAACACATACAACTTGCAATTAAACATTAGATTTAAAAACAAAATATATATTTAAAAGAAAATAAGGATTCAATTTATAACACTCCTCGGTTGGTAGTTCATCATCCTTGAACTGTTCAAGGATGATTTAATAAGAGCAGATGCCACCTGAAATACCTTTGACTGCGCTCTCCCATAGTGCGGCAATAATTATCCTTCAATTTGATAGCTATGCAATTTGAGCTGCGGGAGAGTTGAAATAGTCGCATGGCGCGCCTGCCACTCTCAGCGCGCAATATATACCAAGGAAATACTACATGAAGCGTCGTTTCTCAGATGGAAGTACGTAACTACTCTCCAACGTTGCAAATTATTTTATTTTAATGATACAACAGCGTATATTTTGAAACGCCGCGTTCGAGACATGTTTTTTCGACTATTATCACCGCAGTAAACACCGCTCACATGCAGTGCATGCATCTGACAAGCCGACAGCGCGCCGCTCGCGTGTGCGCCTTGCACTTCGTTGGTGGCTGATAGCTGATAGCGCACGGAGCAAGCATGACGTCACCCCTCCGTATCGATCCGTAACAGCTGTAAGAGGGCTGCCGGGAGTGCGGTTAGCAGCCACCGTGTGGGTAAACTACCTCTTAAAATTGTTCCGTCCTTAAGTTTTTTATTTTCTTATATTCTTGTGACAATATTCTGATTCCTGTTGGCAATGTCGGGCGAGGAGGGTGAGGCGGCCGAAAGGCAGGATTTGGAGAGGTTGTGGAAACAGGAAATAGCGGCGAATGTCGACTCGGAATCCACGGCGATTTTCGACTGGTGGGCAAGACTCACAGCACAATATGCCGAAAACGCCCGGACGTATTTTAACCTCGAGTTCCTCGACAATAAAGCCAAATGGTTCTACGAGATCAAGGACGAGCTCAAAAGCCCTACTGCCGTCGCTTGCGCTATTATCTTCCAGTAGTAAGTTGCTTGGCACCTTTAAATTGTTTACATTTTGCCTGAGTAGCGTTTTGCGACAAAAATATTGGAATGAATTGTTCCTGCAATTGAATGACTACATTTTTATCGTAGAATCTTAATTTTCACATCATTTCGTCGATAAATTTCGCGACTCTAAACGATCAGACGAAAAACAGGCATTCAATTTAATTGCAAGTTGCAACGAGAGGAGCCCCTTCAATTAGTAGATAGGCAACATACGCAACACCCTACTGCAAATTTTGTAGTAGGGTGCAAAAGAAATTGCATTTTACCGAATCTCATCTCCCGAAGCTATTCAGAAGATTTGCAAATGTCAGAAGTTTTGTGAATCCATGTTCAAGGAGAAACCAGTGGAGTGAAAAAAGCATTAGAATATCCTTGTTCTCTAAAATGAAAAATTATTAGAGGAGGTATACCTAACCGAATCACCTGATTTACCGAAATACACGTGTTTAAATAGGAAACGCTGTCTGATGGAGGCTGCAGGATTTTTTCGTTTTTAGATCTATTTTCCTACAGTTTCGCCATATCAGAGAAAAATTACGAAAAATACTGCGAACTCGTGTCATTAAGCACCCTCCGGTGTAGCGATGAAATTTTTCGTGCAAATTATTTTTCTTTTTTATTTATATAAGTTCTATTTATTTCGTCATTATTTAACTTTTCTGATCGTTTCAGCTTTGAGTACGAACCACAATCAGAGGACTGGCGTGAAAAAAATTCCGAGCATTTCAAAGAATTTGCTACAGAAGTTCAATTAGACGATGTAAGTTGGATAAAATAATATTCAAGTGTTTCACTTAAGTTTATACCCTGTACATGCACCCAAGTCGCCCAGTCGATAACTAAGTATTCGTTCATGTTTGTAGGACTTTTGGCCTAACCGCTCAATCGAAGGTGCAACAGTAGTTTATTTTTCTGAGTCACACGCTCGAGTTTATATTTTGACTTTTGTTGGATGAAGCTATGTGATGGTTAATGGAACTGCAACAATGCAAAAAACTCGGATTCCTTAGGGAAAAAATATTACTATGCTTCTATTTACAAATGCTCTTTCTTATTATTACAGGATAAAACTAGAACAACTATCGAACTACTGGACGCTAGCAAGACGAGTATAACTGAGGAACACCAAAGCGAGGGTGCATATGGATCAGAAGACATTCACTTCTTCTTAGACTTAGACATGGTCTATTTAGGCGCTGATGCACCCGAATACCGCGCACAGTCAGACAAAATGCGCCAAGAGTATTCTTTTCTTCGATCGGACCAGTATAATAGTCTCAGATTAAAGGTGGGTGAGCTATTTACCATAGGTGCGATAATAAACATTTCGACAACCAAAATATCTCAAGTAGCACAGTGCAACGAAAATATTGAAATTAAATTACAATTGAGGACACCGCACCAAGAACAGCCTATAGGCGTATAGGTCGTTATTACGCCCATCTGCTTTTCGGATTCTACGTACCCTGGACTATGCTATGGTAGCGATAGAATATAGATAGGTAACGGCTCGAGGTCGAAAAACCTTTTTTTTCCAAGTTAAGTCAGGCCTATCTGGATCGATGGGTGCAAAAACGACCTCTAAACGGGCCTATAAGGTGCTAGTTACCCCTTCCTTTACTCGTCACTATCGATATTCTCTCATTTTGCGTTAATCATGCGTGATTAAAATGATTTATACTTCATGTTGCCACCAAAATGACTGTTGGGCGTAATAATGGCCTATAAACCGCTTCTTTAAATTAAATATATGAGAGTATAAACCCAAAATGTATCGCAAAATCTACCCGGCATCCTTCAATAGAAGGGTTAGGTCACCCAAAAACACCAAAACAGGGTACCTGAATAAAAAAGTCTGCGCAGTACATCAAAAACAAAACTTTAAATGCGTTTTTCTCAAAACGCGATAGGCTGTTCTTGGTGTGGTGTCCTCAATTGGAATAGCCCCCATACACGCTGGGCTTGTCGATTTCCTTTGACATTTTTGCAGTGGTGAATGCATAGTTGAAGTGCGCTCCAGCTAGAATTGTATTTAGCAAATGGATGGTTTTCATACGAGGATTAAAAATAAACAAGTGGTACGGAACAAAAGAAAAGAATATGAACTATATAATGGACCGTAGGTTGATTTAAATTTCTGACCGAACTATTTTCTAACGCTTCCGTCAAATAAAACGCAAATTTATTGAGTTGCATGGGCTCGTAAAATCAGTCATTCTATTGATTTTGTGCTCCAATTTCTTGTGAAACTACAAACCTGATATCGAAACTTGGCTGTTTTGAAAACGCCTTCAAATGCGGCGTGATACCTCACGCATTCCGGAGAGTTCAAATAGTTGTATCATTGCGCCTTAGGAATGCGACGGAAGATTAAAATGGAAATAGCCTCCATGCACGCTGGGCTTGTCAATTTCCTTTGACATTTTTGCAGTGGTGAATGCATAGCTGAAGTGCGCTTCAGCTAGAATTGTATTTAGCAAATGGGTGGTTTTTATACGAGGATTAAAAATAAACAAGTGGTACGGAATATAACAAAAGAATATGAACTATGCAAAACGATAATCCGGGTATCGGAACTTGGCTGTTTTGAAAACGCCTTCAAATGCGGCGTGATACCTCACGCATTCCGGAGAGTTCAAATAGTTGTATCATTGCGCCGTAAGAATGTGACAGAAGATTACAATTGGATTGCATTTTGCAAAAAGAAACCACTAGCATTGCAATGATGCTAAGATTGTGCAACGTCATCTTTTGCAATAAAATTGCGGAAATCATCCCACATAGCACAGAATCTTATGTCAATACTGATACATATTGTTGGATGTTGACATGATATCACCAACACTAATGCAGTATGATATTAAGATTGTCGGTTAAAAGGTATACCGCGTCAGCATGAATATAACACTGATACCTTCAATATATCAAACAACAGTATTGAGTCAATGCTGACGAGGTAAAAAAAAAAAAATAACACGAAAAGAAATTAACACGAAAAAATGAAAAAAAAATATAGGAAGAAAAAGAAGCCTAAGAAAACACGGTGTTAATCAAAGTTATGATGAAAGTCGAGCCGCGCACTGATGCTATGCATGCTATAACAGCCTTAACAGGCGTGATTTTAACCCGAAACACCATCAGCTCCCTGTGGCTCAATGGCAGAATACTGGGCTAGGAATTTCACGGTTCGGGTTCAAATCCACCTGAGGGCGTCCGGGTATTTTACGCTACTAAACGTCGCAGGACATCAAGTAAGAGGTTTATAATATTCAATTCTTGTATACTTGTGTAATTCATGTTTCAAATGTAATACATGTGTAGTACAATGAAAATGACGGCCATCGTCTGAACTTTCATATCTACTTGACAGAGTGCGCTGAGTGTACAGATGTGTCAGTGTTAAGGTAGTAATGCATACATATTGTCGGTGTCCTGCAGTGTTCTGATGACCTTGTCATAACCCTGATTTCCATATGAAATCAACCTTTTCGGCCAATACTGTAACAATATTTTGACAGCTCCAAATCAGTAACTAATAAATACTGGCATAGTCTTGATATAATATTAAATCAGGATACATCAGCATTTTATAAATACTGACACTACTGACGTGTCAGTACTATTGTAGTATTATATCAATATTCTGTGCTATGTGGGATGAAAAACTATGAAATTTAGATGGTAATTTTTGTCTTAAATTTACAGTTTTTAGCGAGTAAAATAGAAACTATTAATGGATAATTGGGTTTTTCCTCCACGACAAAAGAAGTTGCACAATCTTAGCAACATTGCAATGCTAGTGGTTCCTTTTTGGAAAATGCAATCCAATTATTTGATTTCAATAAAATTGTAATATTTTTACCATTAAATTGCAATACTATCACATCATGTAGCCGATTTACGCAGATTTTAAACAATCAACAAAATGAGCTCCATGTATCAGAAAGTTAGGCAATATGCAATGCGATGAAAAATAGCAACTTATTTCAATAGTATCGCAATGAGTTTCCTTAAATGGAGCCCCTTCAAATAAGAGCTAGGCAACATACACAACACTCATTGGAATTCCAATATTTTTACTACGTAGATAATTGCTACGTATTGCAATCTGTGCAATTTGGGTACGAAACCGCATATGTGACGTCGTAGATTACCAGTCATAATTTCGGTATTTTTTCTTTGGAAAACTAGTCAGTGCAATATCTTGAAAACTGCCTTGAATTTCCTTCTCTATTAGCAGAATATTCTGTGGGTGTCTATAGATATTTCGAGTTATAAAATTGGTTTGATTCTCTTCGAAAAAATAAAATAGGGACGGAAGAATTGTACGAGGATTTTGTAAAAAATGTGACAAGCTAGTGAAAAGATCGGTTAGGACAAAGGTCAGGTTTCCTTAAATAGTGCCACGTTAATGTTAGATTATTCCCTTGACAAATTTTGGACACTCCCTCGATACCATGTGTGTATCGGTATTGATTAAAAATTGATACAGGAGATGTCAGAGAGGTACCAGAGAATAGATTCTAATATGCAGATAATAAGTTGAGTCTTTGCCACGATCTGGTTCTTTTGAAAGAGAGCACAATAATTTCGGAGAAATTGTATGCTTTTTTTTCAATTTTGAGATTCATACTTGGGGGCGATTAATGATATTCCGTTTTGCTATCGTCTGTGCAAATGTTTCTGGAAGGAATATTTTGATATGCATCGATATTGGATGACTTGGCTTGGGATTTAATTATCTATTCTTACTCTCTCAATTTTTTTCATGGTATACAGGGTTATTCAAAAGTTACGCACCACTGGCCATAACTTTAGTTCTAATTATGATATCGATTTGCGGTTTGTGGCGTCNCACCTGCTGCTTTATGCCCCTCTTTCTGTTCTTTTTTTTTTTTTTTTTTTTATTAATTAATTACTTTCTTTGTTATCTTTCAGATACTCCAAAGTTTTTTATTGATACCCAACATTTACGTTACATCTACATTCCGAGAGAAATTTGAAGAAAAAGCTCGAAAAAACATAAACCAAGAAATTGAATACCTACTGTCACATCCCGAGTCACTTGGCTTTAAGGAGGATGGATTTCAAGAGGAAAATGTTTAGATTCATCATACCTTAAAGGTTGAAGTAAAAACTTTCGTCAATGAAAATTAGTCGGAAAGAATTTTATTGCAATAGCTTGTATACAAGGGAGAGCTCCATATCAAGCTTATCAGTGGGGCTACTAATAAATTGCCTTTACAAGCACAGCCATTACTGCTCACACTTTTTTTCACTAGTTTTAGACAGCAAGCAAACATAAAAGACATGTGAGAGATTAGATCAACCCCGGAACTGAGTTTATCCGGAGCAAAAGATGCAGCTGGATGTCACAACACTTTTGAGTGTAGTAAATTGTAAAATTTTGGACCCTCTTCTTCTGTAGGTGCTGAGTAAAAAGATATATGTGGTGATTTCAGAAAATGAAATTCATTTTAGAAGTTTTTATATGGCAGCTTTTTGAATGAAAGCCTGCGGGTGGTCAATATTAAATGCTCATTTGGTAATTTGCAAAATGCAATTTGGTTTTGTCATTTGATTTCCAAGCTGTCACGTTAACTGCTCAATCCTGATGAAAATTAAAGGAGGCCCTTATGAAATTAAATACAACAGATTTTATGAATTTCTCATTTTTAACCATCTGAATTTGCATTCTAAATTGTAAGTTACTCTGTATGGTATGACTGAGCAATAAATTCAGTATTTCCAAGCTAAGAACTGAACTTAAAGCCTTCTAAAAGAGGATTTTAATTAAAAACTGAGAGGAGATGCTCCTGTAATCCCTCAAAAAGAAAAAAAGAACAAAATTAGTTTTGCTGCAGGACTAGACGCAAGCTGAAAATTTAAATAAAAATCATAATTTCATTGGAATTTTGATTCATTTATTCATATTATGCCACATGGAATTTCCTATCATTGATCGAAAGTCCCAAACCATACGTCAGCGGTGAAACTACAGAAAATAAGCCTCTTGGTTGCGGTGTTTCAAAATATCTGCTAATATTTTATTTCTAATACGAAGACTGAACCAATATCATGACTTGAAATTTTCACGATACATTTTTCACACAGAGAGAGTCTGAAATCACCTAAGTTTCAAAGAAATGATGTCGAGTAGTTTTTTTTTTTTTTTTTAAGTAGAAAATAATGTATGGCAAGAAGCCTACAACATTGCAAACTGAGATATGAGTTTCTGTAGTTTCACCATTGACATGACTGCAAATACATGCATTGATTCAATGTTCACTTAAAAAAGCTCAAAAAGAGTTACTGGTTTACATTTTGGTATTCACCTGTCATTTATTGGCGTCTGATGCTATCCCAAAATCAAGATCTCTGTCAAGCCAAAGAGTTAATGAATGAAGGTTTTTTTTTTCTTTCTTTTTTTCAAATTGTTACAAAGCTTTTGATACTTTGGTGAGTAGTAAAAATGTGAAAGAGTATTAAAAAGATAGAAAATCGAAATTCAGCTTTCAAAAGAATTTATTACAAATAAACAATTGAGATAAAATTGACAGAAATAGAAAACCAGGCTTCCAACATTGTTTTTATATACAGTGTTTACAAACAGACCCGCCCAGAACCATCTAAATGAAGGTACAAATAGCTATGCAAACACAGTGAAATCATGTCAGGAACAAAAATAAACTTTTTCTCAAAAACTATTTTAAAAAAAGAAGAATATTTACATAATGTACAAAACCAAACAAGAACAAAATATGAACAATTTTATTTTGATAAAAGGAGTCAGTACCATTCACGGTTTCGAGGCTCTCCTTGCTTGCAGCATTTAATGAGTAAAAAAAATTAAGATTCCTGTTCTATGACTAAAATAAGTGGCATTAAGATTAGAAAAAGAGAATGGTACACTCACTTAGACTTATAATTTTGCTGAGAAGTATTTTCGCATAGAACAACATTGCTTGATGAGACGCACCTTCAGCCCTAATATATTTAGGTGCCAAAATGACAACATAATGAGAAACTCAATTTTGTAGTAATGCAATGCACAAAAAAAAAAAAAAAAAAAAAAAAAAAAAGTTTGACTTCTTACTTCTGATATCTTTCGGGGCATGTTCATCCCCAAATGCTTTTTTCATACATGATGAGAAACACTTCCTAGCTTTTTCAAAAAGACCGACAGACTAAATGCTCCCTTACAGAGGACCATGCATGTATGAGCAAAGAGAAAGAGAAAATCTTAACATTATGGGTCAATACTTACAAAATCGCGATAACAAAGTTAAATATTGATGGCTAAAGTTAAAAAATGGGTTCCTCGGATTGCGAGTTTAGTTTCCGCTCAGATATTACCTTTTTAAAGGAAAACTAACCAACAGTTTCTTTTGAAATTTTTGGTGAATGCTGTTGAGCTCATTCTAAAATAAATCACCCAAAATTGAGAGGAAGCATTTTGATTACTTTTCCATCAGAAAAATGAAACATGATCGAAAATTTTTAAAAGTTGCTAGTAAGATATGCATTTCTTTGCACTTAGTCATCAATTTTGCGATTTGAGAATCAAAGCATATGTATCATGTATTCCTCGTCTTCATTCAGCTACTGAGTTAATTTTTGATTTTAAAGAATCTGGATTTCTGACATTTTGACGTATGTACGCTGAAATAGACTTGCAATTTTTTATTTTTTTTTTTGAAAATCATTTACACTCTTTCATTCGTTCATGAACATTTAAATGAGAAAATCAACTGATAATGATTTAAAAACTAAACCAGTAAATAAATCTATAAAGATCAGTCAATGAGCCACAGACCTGAAAAACAGGGCATTAGGAGGTCCCTCAACAATAGAGATCTCACATGTACATCAAATAAATGACGGGGATTAGAGTAACCAATGTTACATCATATTTTCTTTGTGCAAATGCTCTACTGTACTATTTTTGGTAACTATCTTTGATAAGTTACCAAAAATAGTACAGTAGAGCATTTGATACTGACAACATTGGCCCCGTTTGTAAGTACTGAAGCAAAAGCCCTTTTAAGTTAATTTTATGCTAATTTGGTACTCAATTTTACATTTTTGACAATGTTTTCTTTTCGATGAGAATAATTTTCACTTCTGCTCAGAACAAATTTATTAGGTACAATCAGTATTCATGTGTGCTATTACCATCACTAAAGAATGAGGAATTTTTGAAAATTCTGTAATACTTTCTGTTATGAAAGATTTTTAGGTAATTTTTTAGGCAAAAGGCGACGAATGCATACCTGATTTGCAACATTTAAAAATCTACGATCATGTTTTACTTCCTTCAATAAAAACTGATCAAAATGTTTCCATAAAATTTTATGTGATTCTTTAAAATGAGTGGAGAAAATTCATAGAAAATTTCAATAGAGACTGTAGGTAAGTTGTCTTTTAAGAAAATAAAACATAAGCAAAAAATTACGATGTCATGATCTGAGATACATATTTTTCGACCTTAGCCGTCAATATCATTCAAGTGCTTTAGAACATTTCACAATGAAGATACTTTTACATTTTTCTTAAAAAAAATGTAGCAATGAATCAGTCTGTTAACTAAAAAGGAGACAGAAAAACAAGAAGATTAAAATAATTTGGAGTAGGTACAGGGGTAAAGTAAGGGTTTGTTACTTTTAAGTCCATTCTTGAGCTTTGATCAGAGGCTACTTTTAGCCAATATTGTGAGTTCTAAAGTGCTTTTTACAGGCTGCTTTGGTAGCGTAGCTCTTGAAGCACAGCTTACAAACAAAGGAGCGACTCTGACTATTCATATTGTGCTTTTCTTTGAGATGGTCATCACAGGCCGTTTTCGAATGGAATATTCCCATGCATTCACCACAAACATAATGGCCCAGAGTCTCAGGGCCATGGGCAAAGCGCATATGCTTGTAGAGTCTAGACTTGGTCAAAACATTTTGCCCGCACTCTTCGCACAAGAATGTTGAGACTGTTTGGTGACGTTTACGGTGATTGTAAAATGATGTCATGTTCATGGAGCTGTATTCACAATCCTTGCACTGCCATTTTTCTCTTGGTTTCTCCTTTGTGTGTTTCAAGGCATGCTGTTTAACGGAAACTTTTGAGGCAAGTCTCATTCCGCAAATATGACACATGTAGGGTTTTTCTCCAGTGTGTTTCCTAGCGTGTTCGACAAGTTTTCTGCTTGTAGGGGCACGATAACCACAGTCATCGCAGATAAATTTGTCACTGTGAAGTCTCTTGTGCATGTTTAAACGCTCTTTGTTTGAGAAACCTTTATCGCAAAGATCACAGAACATAGTTTTCTCCGCATGGTAAATGCTTTGGTGCCAGTGTACTCTGTCTTCAAATATGAAACATTTGCCGCAAATTCCACAAGCTTCATTAGCGGGCAGTTCACCATGATATTCTTTGTCATGATGAGTTAATTCATAAAACTTTGCATATGCTACGTTTTCGCAAAGATGGCATTGGTAAATCTTAGGTTTTGGTTTCTTCTTGTAGATCTTGCGTTTTCGTTTCCGGATTCTCCTGATGATAGGAAGACCATTCTGATTATTCGTCGTTTGATCTGCTTCATTTTCATCGTCTTTAGGCGGGTCTGGAAGCTGATCAGCCCAGAACAGTACATCTTTGATCCCATCATCGTTCTCGTCATGGTCAATTACAACATTGGAAGTCTCACCATCAAACACCGTAGGTTCAGTCGGTAAATAGAACCTTTGTAAAATTTGACTTCTCTGCTTATTTTTCGGTATAGTCGCAGGATCCATTTTCATATGCTCAGGTACTTTCTCCTTCCAGCTTTTTTTACTACTCAAAAGGCTGGTTGCTACAACTGGCTCTCGGTGACCCTCCTCAGTTATAGTATATTTTACTTCACTCTTTTCGCTCGCGCTTTCTTCCGAATAATTGGTGGAAAGATTTGATGTTTCTAGGTCTAGACCTTCGAAAAGAATATCATCGATGTTTTTTGTTTTCGCGTTTTTAGGACAAGAAGATTTAGCAGCTTTAGGTGCTTTCAAGATAGGAGGAATGAGTTTAGGTTTGACTGGAGGTGATCTAGTTGTGACTGGTAACCTAGGAATTGGAACTTTAGGTAAGGACGTCGTAAGAGGTGCTAAAGTTAGCGTGAAAGGTACTGATGAGAGGGGGGTAGAATTAACAAGGGGTTGCTTACTTGTGTCACCTTCATTTTCAGAGCTTGTTTTTTCTTTTTGTTGCCCCGTTTCACCGTCTTTGTTCTGAATGGGCTGCAATATAAATCTCGTTGTTGGCTTGGCTGGCGATTTGGGAGGTCTGCCCAGAATCGCCTTGTACTTCCCAGTGGCGTGAGGCTGATCTGGGGCAGACTTGATTGGTATCGAGAATATTTGTTCCTCTTCTTCCTGCTCCTCTTGTTCTTTACTCATTTCTTCCTCTTCTTTCTTATATTGACCCTGTAAACAATATAATTTATGAAGGCGTAAGATATGGATGAATGAATGAATTGAACCAGTTATTTTTTCAAAAGAGCATTTATTGGGATGCAAAGATTGATTGCAAATCAAATACTGTTTTCCTTGGATATCACAAAGTGACACTAATGTAACGAAGAAAATAATTTGCTAAATCATCAGAATGAGGGGATAGAGCAAATAATTTAGATCAGGTGGTTACCTAAAAAATAATATGCTCTGAATGACTGAGCATTAAATTTGAATAGAAAGGAAAAAGGTTCTTGTTTTGCAAAACAGAGGGAAGAAATCTGAATTTAAGAATTCAATCATTTTCAGTAACTACAGAGAAAAATACGATGAGGAACAGAATCTAAATTTAAGGTAGACAGTTGAGAGAAGTTTCAGCTAGGCTGTCCAAAAACGGGCAGTAAACAGCTGTAGACTGTAGCAACACTTTTTATTGCTTAAAACATGGCTTTGTCTGGCTTCCCATATCTGACAATGTTTATGGTTTGGTATATTTGCCACAGCTTGCTTTTTGACCTCAACTCAATGTGATGAAGATCGATGGATATTTGTTATGTTTGAATCAGACAGAGAAAAAAGGAAGAAAAAGGCTGCAGAGAATCACAAAGATTCACTTGCTCTTCTTAATTCATTGTTAATGATTAATAAAGTTGGCATGGATTCAGTTCCAACAATTCCAAATCAAGTATGCAAATGGTACCCTGATGGATCTCTGGACTTGTGGGACTCATCAGGTGGCAATATATACTTGCAGTTACCAGCCAGTTAATTTATACAACAAAAACTTAACGACATTGAGCTGAAAGCATAGGAAATGCAGGCAACGATTTCTTTTCAGCTTAACAACTCTTCAGCATAGAGAATTTAAGTGTAGCCTCAAAAGAGATTCCTGAGTTCTATAACTTCTTATCTACAGAGTGAAAAAACATTAAATATGGGTGTAGACCCAGCGCATGGTTACGACAAAACAAATAGGCCTGAATTTTAGACAACATAGACACATCTAATTGTTCCACAAAAAAGATTTCTGCTTAAAAATGAAACAGTGGACCCAGAGACCTTATGCTCTATATTTGATGATTTCAAAAGTGAGATAAAGTCTATGTTTTCACTATTTTTAGGAATTTAAGTTCATTTATTGCAGTTCAAGATTTTTTGCTCTTTCAAACTGATCAGTGCTGAATTATTTATGCTTGGAGTGCACAACAACAAAGCAACTTTTGAGTGCTAACATTTCAATACGGCTGCAAAGTCGCCCCGAATTCTTGTATTTGACATTTGTCAGACGTTCCAACTTGAATGGTCCAGTCCCATGTTCACATGTGTTTCTCATTGCTTTCCTCCTGTCAGTTTAGACGGAAGTGCCCATTTAAACATTGACAAATTCAAAATGCTTTGTGACAGCCATGTTTGGGACTAAAATTTATCATGGCACTATTTTATAGCTTATTTAGCTCATATCAGTTGATAAAATCTTAACTAAGGCTCTCGAACAAGAAGCAAATACTTTTAGGAAATTTCCTTAATTTTTCCCTGGTTTATATTCTCATTAAGCAGTAAGATTGTTAGTGATAATTTAAATAAAATTATTAGATTCTTATGCAACCAATGAAATTTCAGGATTTTTGAAGGGCAAAACTGGGATTGTGAGAAAATTCTGTTGTAATTTTGTCGTTCACCCATCAAAGAGACGTATCTTGACTGCGATACTTCAGTATTTTTTACTTAAATCACATTTTTACAAGAAAACAGTCGCATGAATTTGCCTGAAATTTCCATTAATTTTTCTTCACATTTCTGAGAAAAACTTCTAGAATTATCAGACAAAATCTTGCACTGTTTCTCCCATGAAAAATAAAATGCTCAGAGAGATGCTGAAAACACGCAGACAAAATTGGTTCCTTCATGCCGGAGATGACAATTTATTTTACACCATGCAAAAATAAAAAAAAAAGGGTAAGGAATAAAGTTTAGAGGTTGAAATTTGCTGAGTAATCTCATAATTGATAAGAGCCTATGACTCAATCAAGTACTACAGACTTTCAGAATAACAGATATAAATGGTGGATAGGAGAAAATGTGACTAGAATTAGTACATGTACTACGGGCAATGTGCACGCATTGATGTATGTAATATCCTGAAGTAAGATAATGCAATATTTGTTGCAGCATTGACTTCAAAGATGTCATTGCCATCAATGACTCAAATGCCAGACAATACAAGATGGGCATTGTTCTCTTTGGAAGATACTTGCACCTTGCCTGTAGTACGTAGATAACTAAGAGAAGCAAAAAAATCATGAAGAACCTAAAATACTGTTTTTCCACTCCAAGTTAAACATATAATAGCAAAAACCAGAAGTAAGTACAAGACTTGGTGTACATTACAGATAGCGGGTAAGAATTACTTTTGAATTGAAATACGAAAGTATGGAAAATTGAAGATTCATTAGAATTTTGGGGAAAATCCTGATCAAACTTGTATTCAAGTACGTATTACATGAACTATTTGAGGGAGAGCTTGTTTTACAAGGGGAAGGGGGGGCGGCAAATCCAGTTTTACGTAAGCCTCTCACTACATAAAGAGAAAAAAAAAGATCTGATGTTCTTTTTCCACTAACACTGACAGGGGTGCTCTTTCTTAAGTGCAAAAAAAAAGGGGAAAAAGAGGACGAAGAAGCAAAATACTTGACAATCAGGATCAATGAAAACAAATAAAAATTACTCAAGTGAATACTTGCCAGCGGGAAAATATAAAGAATACTTTGGTAACGACACCTCAATTTCAAAGGCACAGGCATATCGCCGAAATATTACTCAATTTTTTTTTATTTTTTTTTTTTAATCGCTTGATTTAACAATCTTTCCCCTTACATCATATATAAATTCTGATACATTGCTCCCTTGGAGCACTTTCAGTTACTAGAGCATCTTCTACACTAAGCAGAGATCAAAATTGAATGAATGATTACTTTGCATTAACCGACAATCTAACTGTATTATCTGAAAAATTGTGTTAAAAGGCCAAAGCCTTGAAAGACCTAAATTGAAAAACTTGCGCTTTGGGGATATACTACTACGATTAAATAAATAAAAAATAATGAAAAACTGAGAAGATCTTCATATAAAGATATGAATGTCATAGCAAACTGAGATAATGTAAATTTCTAAAAAATTGGAACGTGCTACACAGATAGTATTCGGAAGAAAAGTAGAAAAACTGGACACAGGATAAATACATAGTGATAAAAGGTATGAAGACTGGAGTGCAAAAATTTTAATGTTGATAAGGAGTCTGGTATAAAAAAATTCTACGGGTGATAGGTATGTAGTATCATAAAATTTATACCCATGTCTTCTGAAGGATTTCTTCGTTAGCTTCAATAATTTGTTGAATTCGTTGAGAGATGTCATCAGTAGATTTGAATTTATTGGCAAATTTATTTCCCGCATCATTTGATTTGACTCCAGGACTGGGTTGGGCTAATTTTGATGAAGGTTGCTTCCTAGCTGGCAAGACATTCTGTGCGGAGGGTTTAAGAATAGGCTTGAGTTTGGATCTAGTTCTAGTTTGAACTAATCCTGGTGAGAAGGATTGTTTTCGTGGTGAGCGTGCTGATTCAACAGTCACTGCCTTAGTCGGCGCAGGCATCAACACCTTTTGCTTCTTCGGCACCGACACTCCTGAATCTGAGATACTACGTTTGATCCCTTTGGTGGTGATCAGATTTGGTTGATTCACAAGTTGAGTCTGTGAAGGTACTATTTGATAGAACTGCGTTGTTCCACTTTGAGAAGTTACTGGCAACATAAAATGGCTCCCGGAGTCTGCGGAAGGAGGGATCAAGAATTTCACTGCTTTTTCTCCAGGCGATCTGGCATATTTATGGAACATCAGAGCTTCCTTTGAACCTGACTCACTATTAGATTTTAATATGGATTGGAGGATAGATGGATTCAATTCTTTCTGATTTTCTGCTAGAAGATTTCCTTGTGATTCCGATAATTCAGTTTCACCTTCTGCGGGCAAAATGATGTACTGAACACCATCCTTTTCGGACAGAGTTACGTTCACGGTATTTTCAGACTGCAACAAAAATTTGAAAACAAATGGTTAGATCAGAAACCTTCACATGGCAAAGAAACATTGAAAAAAAAACCGAACAGCAATTTTTAGTAACAACAGGGGGGTGCTCAAAATAATCTGGCTTGATGCTTCGATTAAAAAACCAAGCAATTTATTGAGGAACTCTTGGTCTCATTTGAAAGAAGACATTCAAATTGACTAGACGAAAAATACTGAGTTTCCACTTTGAACATAAAATGGAGATTTTAAATATGTTTACAGTTAAGTTTGTTTAATATTAATGAGATATGTATTGTGATTATCAATGCTTGCTTTGGACTGAATTCTTAAATTAGGAACTAAAATTTTTGGCTCAGTTGGAAAACAATGTATGTGTCGCAGGCGATTAGTCAAATTAGGCATTTTACCAAATGCCTGAGGCAGACAGTCAAATTTTGACAGTTAACAGAATTTTTTAAATTTAAGACAAAAGCTCACCCCTTTTCAATATTTTTGAAAAAACGATGCATCAATTCTACAAACTCTCCTTGTTCCTTCCTTTTCAAATACTTCCCATAGGTATGAATGTTGAACTTTTAAAAACTCTGCGTTATATGACATGCAGCACATTTTCAGATGAATGTTCCTTGTGGAGCTGAAATCTGGTTAAAATACTCTCCTATGATGCACCTTTTTACACAGAATTTTTTCTAACCTGATCGATGAATTATTTTGTATAAAATTAGAAGGAAAAAAAAAATCAGGATTTCATTCAGAATAAAAACATTTGACTATATGCCTGCGACATTAATTTATACCATTAATTTCCCTATAGACGTATGTCATTTACAAATGAGCTGGAAATGGTTCCTAATTGCAAAATGTAGCCCATTTTTAACCCAGCCTGTTATTCGGAGATGACAATCCATTAGGGTCAAGTTGGAGCCAGACAGATGGTATCTTTCATTTGAAAGTAAAAGTCACTGGGCTATCAGAAGGAATGATGGCACAATAACTTGAAGAGTCCATAAATGAAGAATGATCAATTACTCACTTCTGTCAAAATTGTTTCTACCATCTGTGAATCTTCATCTCTGGTTTCAGAAAGCTCAGAAGCTGTCCGCAAAACTGCAATAAAAGAAACAAAAAAGTTGATTTTTTCCAGAAATCAATGATCCCCTAACTTAACAGTGATGGTGTTTACAATTTATCGATGACTCTACGATGGACAACATTCTTGTCAATGTTTATATGAGTAGTTTGGTCAACCTAAAACTTATTTTGTACCATCATTTATTGCTGTGTTATAGTATTTATGTATTATTGTACAGTTGAACATGTGTCAAAAATGTGTGAGAATATAAAAAATTTGATCGTAAAAAGTAGTCACCTCGCCCGGGGATCGAACCCGGGACCGCCCACGTACCAGGCTAGTGCTCTACTGCAGAGCTACCGCCTGATGTGGGAAGAGAGCTGCTCAATTGTGTGTACAGACTCGAGCGCTCAAAACAAGACTTTTCGGAATTTTTTTTTGGGTGTTTCCAGGGTGAATTGGAAAAAACAAAGAAACTCGGGTCTAATGGATTCATTCAAAGAGTTCGTACAAGTTTTTTCAGCCCGATCGGAGGCGGCAGCTTGAAAATTTCCCCTTGTAAGAGGATTGATTGGTTATATTTTGATTCATCCGCTTTTTATTTCTACAAACAGACTGCGATTTCATGCATGAGTTGTTACACAGTTTGTCGTAACTAGTGTCGCTCAAAAAGCACTTCTCTTTGCTCATATATCATGCTCTAGGGAGCTTCTTCACTCTGTAATGAGACTATCAGTTGATTCCTGAATTTATCGCTCAGAGAAAAATTAAGCACTCTGATTAAATGTTATAGTTGATTGTGTTTCTTGTACAATGTTTTCTTTGGTAAGGAAACACTCTACCAGAGAATTACAGAAAAAATTGGAGGGTTGTTGCTACTTACAGCCATCCATCACAAATTCCACTTCGCAAAATACATTTTTCTCTAGCTCCAGCAAAAGGCAATTCTGCCCTTGTACAACTTTGTCCGCTGTGCAGGCAAAATAGTTTTCACTACAAAGTGATCGGTATAGATTCCGATTGGCTAGAAACAGAAAGAAAAAAAAATGAATCCTAAAAATTATGGTGCGTAATTTTTGATTTGTCAGAGTTTCCTTTACCCTGTTTGAATGAGTCGTCCTTTGTTTGGATTTTTTCTTTCTACAGGAAAATTCATTTTGACGTTTCAGTGCAAATTTTTCAAATATATTGAAATTTAAAATTTAAAAAAAAAAAAAAAACAACAACAAGATGAAGGAAAAAATAGCAAAAAAGGTTAGACAGGTAAAACCTGTTGGTTACCAAATCAATTTGAACCAAAGAATTGCGCTCTGAATAAGAATAAGGATGATCAACACTCGCCATTTCCCTCAGCTACATGTGAAAATGCATAGATACCTGTCTCAACTCAAACATTTAAAAATCTCCAAAAATGTTTAATTTTCATCGGAAAACTAATCAAGATTTCCCCGTGTGATTTGTGTGCTTTTTTGAGAGTGAGTGGGAAAAATTTGCAGAAAATTTCAATAGAAAATATTGGTCAGGTTTCCTTTAAAATATAAAAAATGAGCAGAAACTGACCATATTACATTGAGATACGTAAGTATTTGTCATTTTCAGTCATTGATAAATTTAATAATTATAATTATAATGAATATAATTTTATTTAGGCAAATAATTTTATTTGAAAAAAAAAAAAATGAAGTGAAAATTTTGAATCACCACAGTTGCAGCACATTTTTAATAAATTTTAATATGTTTCTATAAAGGCCTAAATACACACGGCGATCAATCGCCGCGAGTAAAAGACGAAAGCCAACGGATAGCCTTGATTTCGATCCACTGACGTCGATACATCAAAATCAAGGCTCTCCATTGGCTTTCGTCTTTTACTCATGGAAATTAAACACTGTGTGTATATAGGCCTTAAAGTAGAAATGCCCAATTACTTGTGATTTTAAATTCTCTCTGCTCTACTTTAATTTCTAAATCAAAGCATGACAGAGAAGGATAAAAAAAGAAGAGAAAACAAAGAGGAACAGCAGGTAAAAACTCACTTTCTAAAAACTCTGCTTCAATTAATAGCTTAAAAGCCTCAGGGTCAGCAAGTCGGATCAAGGGACTTTGATTTTTCTTGGGCGGGTCATTTTTCGTGGTATCAATACACTCGATGCTGTCGGCACTTTCAGTCGAGCTCCCACTGTTGTCATCACATACCATGATTTGCCCTTCAATCTGGGAACTTTCATCATTTTCGCCTTCCTCTTCGAGCTGAGGATTTTCTTCCATTTGAGAAGTTTCTTTGTCCTCATCTCCTTCTTCAATATGATAAGTTTCTTCAATTTGTATTTGCTCTTCAGATGTAGATCCTCTTTCCTCTTGGGATTCGTCTTTAGAATTGCAGCTATTTTCTTCCTCTTTGCTATGTTTCTTTTTTGAATCACACTTTCTAGAACTGGGTTCTTCTTCCTCAGGAATGCTTTTATCACTTTTGTCTTTAGAAGCATTTTCTTTGAGATTTGCTGCATCTCCATCATCCTTAACATAGAAAGAAGAAAAAAGTTAAAATTTGGCTTTAATTAAATGTTGAAATAATTTTACTTAAAATCTAAATTTAAATTTCTACATTTTTATATATTTTTAAATTAATTATCAATCTTATTTAGATATATTTGGTATTTTGATCTATTTTACTTTAAAACTTAACTTTTAAAGTTTTCTATGGTTTAATTTTGTAATTTAGGTTATCGAATAAATAGATAAACAATATTTAATTAAATTACCTTATTTAATAACTAGATACTTAAAATATTATATCCGAAAAATATTTTCCAACAGATAGTCTAAAATTCCGTGCCTCCATAATCTGAGAAATAGTAAGCACCTTCTCGCCCCACAGGTGACTTTTTGAAAGCAGTGAAATAATAATACTTACTGAGGGTTGATTTAAAACGTGAGGGATACAAAGCGAGGAAAGTTAAATTTTCAGTTTTCAACCTTAAAATTTACTTTTCATTCAAGCAAGATGGTGTAAATTACTGACCTGTGGCCCGTCAGTGATACTTATACCAGAAGTGTTCCCTCTTCCGAGTTAAAAAAGAAAAAAAAAGGGGGTTAGTTTAAAACGAGAGATACAAGGCGCGGGAAGTTAGATTTCCAGTTTTCAACCTTAGGCATAACACTTACCAGTTAAACAAATTTTTTCTGTGAAAAATAAGTTGTCAAGCTCAGTGATCTGAATTCGAGTAAATAATGGGTGGATGCATGTATGGAAAGGACATTAATATTTACAGAAAACTCTTTTCAAGATAAATAAATGCAATTCTACACATTGAAAAGAAAAGGTCTTACCGCTATTGAGCAATGTAACCTATTTAAAACACTACAGAGAAAGTCTTCTGATTTCTGACAAGAAGTTTTGAAAGATTTCCATGATTCCATTTGATCCAGGCAATCTTGACAAACATGTTTGGGTAATTCATCTTCAACTCGAACCTGTGCAAAAGAGCAGAGATAAGCTTAAAAAAAACACAATTGCTTAAAAGGTAACTGCCTACAACTAAATTTATAGCCAACACTTTTTCAGCATTGGAAAATTACATGTTAAAGTAACTTTAGGTATCTCATGAAGCAAAACATGTTAGAGGTCCGATATGAAATTTTCAAAATACCTAACCTAACCTAACTATTTCTTTACACCTCTAACAGAGCAGAGGCTAGAAGACCATCAAAATTTGAGTTATTTTGAGCTTAGGTACCCGACTTGATTCTGCACATTAGGTACATGCTATTAGAAATGATGGTCGAAGGCTTCATCTGAGCATGATGACAGATCACGGCTACTTACAGATGGCATGTTCACTGACCGACTTGAAGTTCAGACTTCCACCTTGTTACCGTTGACAAAGAAATTGCCTCCAGTACATCCAACTTGTTTCAAATAACTACTATTTTTAAAGTCTTGTCCTGTTTTGCTCCTTGCCATTCAGTCTAGAATTTTACAAGTGCTTGTCCATAGCAAAGGCACTTTGGGTCCATAGGAATGTCCTTAGGGTTGACAGGCCAATAATTGATTCTCTCTGTACGTTACTACTTGTGCCCGTTTAAATCACAAGAATACAAGATGGGTTTCCTACAGAGGCCAAATGCAAACCCATCACAGAAACGCATGGTGCGATATATCCTACTATCAGTATTTTTCGTATTTATGCTAATGCATCGAAAAAGATATAGATTACTTTTTCAATGTTCTGCAAGTATCAAATACACGAATTGCAAGGGACGCTTACATAGCGATTTGACTACGAGCGATTAGAAAATAAGATGATGAAGAGGTCAACCTTGCAGGGTGTGTTGAAGATATCCTTGTATGCTGCAGACTTTCCTGCCTAGAATTAAGTTCCAAGAGTTTAAAAATGTACTTACCACAATATCAACACATTCTTTGATGAGATCAGAGAGGGGGTTTTCAGAATGGCATATTGGGTTGAGAGTTGTACTTTCTTTAACACACAAACGGCAAGTCCGTTCAAAATTCATACTCGACGTTGGGCTGGTATCCATGATAAGGCTAAAAGTTTAGGGATACCAAATGCTTACACTATGTACATCACATTTCTTTCTGATGAGGATGAAGAGAATCTATTCACTTTGATAACATCCTAACCAAAGAATTTAAAATTAGTACATAAACACGACAGAGCAAGAATGCATGCAGTAAAATATTTCGTAATCCGCCATCAACGATTTAATACACCTCACCTAAGTACGGAACTACGTCACAGGCGTGGGGTTGCCATTAGCCAATCACAGCTCAGGGTTTGATAGATACCGAAGTGCCATGATGTCGCACGCTTGCGGCACACTTTTTCTGATTATGCGTTGCCTAGTCTAATGTAAATGTAGTAGACATTTTGCTGAAATACTGTAATCAGACCGATTAAGCGGCAACATTGTTTCAGGGTCATTGGTAAAAGCGCTCATTCCGCTTGACGTCACAGCCGCTCGTTGGTCACAGCTCAAATTGACGTCATTTTTACAACCGAGCCAAATTTAACGGCCGATCATAGTTAGCATGTTCTTTTCAGCTGANGTGCATCGGCTTCATCGAACTCCGGAGTACGATTGATCTGGTTGATCCGGTTGATCTACTCTACGTCATAGCGATGGAATCAATCAGAATTCCAAAAACACTTTGATGGATCTGCACCGATGAATCGTCTACTATTCATCGGTCCCGGAAACACTTTGATGCACAACCGATTCAATCGATTTACATCGCGATGAATTCTGGAACGCAACCCTGGCATGTTCTTTTCAGCTGAAATTTTAGAACTAAAATTCACTCTATTTCCTTAAATATTGACATATTTCTCCTCTGTAGTTTGCTTAGCGGTGAATGAAATTTTACTCATGGACTCAATAGACCGACAAAATTATCGGAATATTTAGCAATGAAGCCGAATAGAGGGCAAAGTTGGAAATAACTCGCTCCTCTACATGGGCTAAACTAGAAATATTTTGTGAGAGGAGAAGGGAGGGGGGGGGGGACTACAAGATATCCTACCTATTCCGCATTCCGAAAGATAATGGGATTTTTTTGCTTAAACAGGGGATCGGGGGCCATATTGAATTTTGGAAATCCGCATTTCAGGCCTCATATTTAAGTACAATCTTGGATTTTCGAATTTCGAAAATTTGAGTTGAAATTCATGTTTTCCGCCAAAAAAGAACTGCTGGCATCGGGTTTGACACAAATCGATCGAACAGGAGCCATCGTAAGATCCATAAGATTCGAAACGGTGAAAAATGATACCAGTCAGTTTACGCTACTTAGTGCGCCTTCAATTACATTTGATACAGTGCAATACCTTAGTGTTCGAATAGTTGCTCTGAAAGCGCCTTCAAAAGTGTATCTTCAATTTGATGACAGATTTTAAAGATTACCGCTGAAATTACACTGTGGAACGTTCGCAGTGATACGTTTTCTCATCATCTAGGTGTGGTAAAGAATACGCATACCTCAATTACAGGGGCGGACTGGTAGTCGAAAAGTTAAGAGGAGACCTAAATGTAAGGGCCCCTCCTGTCGTTCGGGGGCCTCTCTAAGAAGGTCTGGGGGCCCTCCCCCGGTAAATTTTGAAAATTTCACACTTTTTAAACACGTAGGCATTATTGGAGTTGGATTCTACAGTACTTGAACTTCAAAATAACCCATTCACAGGATTCATCGGGGGTCTCTTCATCACAAATGCTTTTGGCGACCTTCCATGTCTCTTAGAGACAACTTTTCAAGGAATTCGGGGCATTTTAGTGATTCCAAAGAATAAAAAAAATTACAACATTACGGGAAAAAAACGATAACTCGAAAAAAATTCGCCGCGGGGGCCCCTTCGGGACCTCCGCGGGAAATTGTTAGGGGGCGATCGCCTCCCCGCCCCCATGGCCAGTCCGCCCCTGATGACAACGCACACAGAAGAGAGGCAAGTTTGTGGCAGGGAGTTGCAGAAGTCCATATCTGCGGCGAATTTGGCGAATCCTATGCGTACGTTTAACAGTGATAAACCTTTAAATTGCAATATTTCCTGGCTGAGGCGCAGAGATACAACTATTTGAACTCTCCGGAACGCGTGAGGTATCACGCTTCAATTGAAGGCGTTTACGAATCTTCTGTATCTACATGACGAGATTTTCCAAATTTGTTTGCATTATATTGAGGATTTGAGTTCCTTTTATTAATTAGTTAAATTATTCCTGCTTCTGAATTTTTAATTATTCTTCAAAAATTATCTGTTTGCGAAAAACAATCCTGGTTTTATCGCCTTTAAACTACGGCCTGAGCGGTCGAAACTGCAGTAGCGGCACAGGAAAACCGAAAAACAACGCGGGGACGCTATACTTCAGTATTAAACTTCCATCGCCTTGCTAAGGCGCAGGGATACAACTATTTGAACTCTCCGGATCGCGTGAGGTATCACGCTTCAATTGAAGGCGTTTTCGAATCTTCTGTACTTACATGACGAGATTTTCCAATTTTTCTTGCATAATATTGATGATTTTATTATTTAGTTAAATTACTCCTACTGCTTAATTTTTAATTATTCTTTAAAAATTATCTGTTTGCGAAATACAATCCTGGCTTTAGCTCCCTTAAACTACGGCCTTAACGGTCAAAACTGCAGTAGCGGCACTCATTTAGCTATGTTGCAAGTTTTACGCTGCCTGTTTAAAGAGCGTAAACCAAAATGTACACACTCTAGGTAAATCTGCCGATTTGTATCCATCGATGTGCAGTCATATCTGTAGATTTCTACCATCCTAATTTTCAAACAATTACTTTACATCAGTTATTCATAATACTGCTTTTTACATTACCTACACTTTCCTAGAACATACCCACTTGATATTTACCCAGCGTTACCAAATTATCAAGAATTTCGTCATTAGCCTTTGTAATTTTGTCGTTCATCATCCCTATTTTGTACTCATTCTCTTGTTCGTTTTTTTTCTCTCTCAATTTTCCTCCTTATTAAACATGTTTTTTTTTTCGATTTTATTCCTTTGTTTTTGGCGGGGTTTCCTTTTTTTCATTAATAAATAAAAAATAATACAGCAAAAGTCCGCAACTTTCATCCCGGTTAAAATGCTTAGTGAGTACAGCTGAAATTTGGATGCAAAAATGCGATCGATTGATTGTATTAAAATTGAATGTCTCAGTACGAAAACGACCTATCTCGGAAAACTGAACTTTTTCAGGGGACGACATGAGCTGCGTAACAGCCAGGAAAAAAGCGTTTTTACACACACACACACCCCCTCTCACACACGAAAAAAAAAACATCGTAAAAAACCCGAGTTGGATTGTTTTCGAACTGAGAGATCCAATTACTATTGGATGGCTATTTGAATTTATGTAGGTAGTAGTTGAGATAATTTTGTAGGTGTGATGTAAATGAAAAAAAATTCAATTTTGTGATGCTCAGCCATCGGCTTTCATAATTTTATTCTCGCAACAATTTTTCAACAATGTCATCAAATTTACAAAACTAACTATACAGAGAAAGAAACAAATACTTTAATTTACAGACTAAACATTCTGTGCAACCCAAAGGGGCATTTACAATTTATACATAGCAAGCAAATAAAAAAGTCAGGCAGCGTACAATCTGCTAAAATAAAATTTCTAATAATTCCAAGCGCTCCGCAAAATTTGTTCTCAAAAACGAGCAATTATCCTTACTGCTGACTTAATGAAAGACTACTTCAGCAGTTGCAGAGGATTTTTTTTATACAGAGAAATGTCATCATAAAAATGCTAAAGAAAAGAGTGACGCATTTTTTTTTTTTTTTACTTAGTAAGGCAGTCCTCCCATTACTGAACTTTTTCATAATTCCGAGTGACTGACTACCATTTTGGTTATTTCCGAAGTATACACGAAAAATTCTTAATATTAAGGTAAACTTGATATTCAAAACTTATTAGTTTAACAGGTCGTTACAAAAACGTGCATTTTGCACCTACAAAACTTAAGGTGATTCGATTGACGCCATATTTTGTGTTAGAACGGCATGCGATATACCGCATACATTGGTTCCATTTTTTCAGCTGCTCGTCATTTTCCTCCAATTATGAGATCGCAATTCTGTTGTCAGGAGACTAAAACACTCATTTGCCAATTTTAACAAAAAAATTCAACGTAATAAAGGCGTGGTTTTTTTTAGAGAGAAATATCGCATTCGAGTGCAGTTTCGATATCAGTACCGAATGAGATGTTTTCTCTCTAAAAAAACCACGCCTTTATCACGTTGAATTTCTTTGTTAAAATTGGTAAGTGAGTGCTTTAGTCTCCTGACAACAGAATTGCGATCTCAAAATTGGAGAAAAATGACGAGTAGCTGAAAAAATGGAACCAATTTATGCGATATATCGCATGCCGTTCTGACACCAAATATGGCGTCCATCGACTCACCTTAAGATCAATCGCGGCTTAATAGATGAACAATAACTACCTTTAATTTATAAAAGCTGGAGTTAAATATTGTATCATTTACAATTTTAATTATCTTTGAAAGAGGGGGGGGGGAGAATAAATAGAACATACATTGCGTGCGAGTCTCTCTTTACATGTGATTGCCAATCAATATAAGATGGATTGAAGACTTGAATTTGACATTAAAACTGTGATGATGCAAAAAAGAAAAAAAATGAAAACAGAATAATTAACAGAAGCTTGGAACAAGAAATGTTGGCTCTCATTCCGGTCTCGTCCACATCGACTGAAGAGTTGATTTGGGCGACGGAAAGAGGAAAGAAAAAACACTGAAGCCGCACGTTATTTCATTGCAGTAGACACTTACCTATCCTTCCGACTTGCAGACTGTTTTGTTACAAATGATACATTTTTTTTACAATGAATTATCATACATTTATACAATTATGAACTATAAAGGAACTTTTAAGGGTCTTATGTACGTAAAAACTAACATGGGGATTTGAGATGCATTAAAATACGTCAAATAATTACCTTAACAAAAACGTAGACAGCTCAGAGTTACCTTTCAATATGATATACTGAATTTTGTAGTTTAATTAAATAAATTAGCATTTTTTTTTTTTATTCCATACAATTGAGATACTTTCACATTATTTAAGGTCAGGAAATGCAAAGTTTGAACGATCAAAAAAATGAGTGCTACGCGTGGGGGAGGTAGGCAATTTGCAACGCAAAAAATATTGCATCTTAATTAAATATAATTTCAATGCATCACAAGAAGGTGAGCCCCTTCAATTAGTGAATAGGCAACATACGCAACACACCAAAACAGAAGAAATAATTTCACTATGCGATTGCAATTTGATGCAACCAGTGCTACTTGACGCTATAGGCTTGTTCTCAATACCCATGAAGAATTCTTTGTCCATGCATAGTTCAAATTCTGTTGTGAAAAATCACGGGGCTAATTTACCTAACTTGGACTAGTAGGTTGGGATTCTTAAAAATTTCTCATTCAATTTTTCGAATGAAATGGTCAACAACACATAAAATTACACGATTATTGTCAAATTCAAATGATAGGGAGAGGTTTTAGAATTTGAAATCATCAACTTCACACTAGGCGTCTAGAAGTATGTACACTGTACAAAGAGAAGAGGGGTGGGAGAGAGGGGTTGGGAGGGAAGGGGAGGTAATATCACAGCCTTGGAGCAGTTTAAAACTTAGTCTATAACGCTGTCAATGCGGGCATGATGTAAGTAGAATTACTGATAGTTTGGGGCTATGTTAAAAAGTAGAGAAATCAGCATTACAAAAAACAAGAGTAAATCTTTTTCATTTTTAAAATAAAATAATTAAAAAAATTACCGCATACGTTGGAATTCCAGAAATACAGGACGTTAAGAGTTGTATGCGCAGGACTTACTTTGAACAACATGTAGTCCGACCGAGATACGCGACCTACATACACGGAGAAAAAAAAACTTCGTGCATGGGACCCGAAGTTGAGGTCATACGGATCTCTGAAGTTTCTGATCACGCATCCGAAAACTTGAGGTCGGGCTGCCGAAGTTCGGGTCAGACATCGAGGCACTTCGGTATACACTAGAGTACTTCAGATGTCTGACCCGAACTTCGGCAGCTTGAGCAGCGGCAGCTTCGGCAGTTTTCGGATGCGTGATCCGAAAACTTCAAAGATCCATATGACCTCAACTTCGGGTCCCACGCCCGAAGTTTTTTTCTCCGTGTATTAAACAATCAGCATCTACCTATTGAGCTACCTTACATTGAGTTTGTGAGTCGACCCAAGTCAACAACCACGACATCACCCCAGATCGACAGCGTTTAAGGGTTCTCGACAGACGAGCCAAGAATCGGGATCAAATACAACCGCACCCGGTGACGACCATGTCCGCGTAGGTCTTGAGCACGGTCTTCCCGTTGTTGTCCAGGTAGAGCATGGAGATGGGCTCCAGGGAGGTGGGCGCGCAGCAGGGCTTCGGCATGAGGTTCGGCTTCACCGAGTTGACCAGCGTCTGGATCGTCGCGTGGTTCGTCGTGTTCATGTGCTCCGGGAGCGGGAAGGGGCACTCGCCGTCGCAGAAGTAGGCATCGTACCCGGCTGGGGCTACGATCCAGTCCGACCATCCCACGTCGCTGAAGTCGATACGCATCGGGCGCCGCTTGCACAGGTCCCTGCGCTTGCCGCCCTTAGCCCGCTCCGTCGATCGGGATCGTCGCGACAGGAGATCTTCTATCCGACGTCGCTTGTTCTGTCCGTCGTCCGAGTAGATGAAGAGCACGGGTTGCGCTTCCCGCCAGTCGGCTTCGGTCTCCGTGGATCTGCGCATGCGCACCGCGGGCTCCTTACGGGTGCGGACTTCGACGACGATCCCGAAGTTGGGTTTGCCGGCGCGCCAGCCCTCGACGGCCGGGAGGATGTCCAGGCTCACGCCGTTGGAGCGGCTCACGTCCACCTGCTTCGTGTCCAGGAGTCGGAGGATCGGCTGCGTCTTCCCGGAGATTCCCGGTTGGATGACGTCGTGCACCCGGATCGTCTGGTAGTGCGGACCAGGGCCTCCGGTTGCGGAGATAGTCAACCGTAGCTCGGCCGCTGTGATGCCCTCTGTGCTGGGTAGCGTTGAGATGTCGAAGTTGAGGCTCCCTTTCGAGGGATCGCTGGTTTGGGAGTCGGCTGGATCACCTGAAACAAATCAAAATTCAGTTTTTTAGTGGGATGCTGGTGGAAGTTGGCTCAGTAAACTGTAAACAATTAATTAATTAATTAATTAAACAGCTGTAAATAATTAATTCTGAGCGTGAAAAGAATGCTTTAAAAATTCCGCGATTCCCATATGGGCAATACTTGGAATGCATTTTGCAAAAAGGAACCAAGAGCATTCCAATGTTGCTAGGATTGTGCAACATACATTCTTTGCAATATAAGATTACTGAAATCATGCAAAAAAAAAATTTACAACGGTAATTTTTTTCTTGAATTTATAGTTTTTTGGGAGCAAAGATAAACCTCGTTTAGATACTCAGTTTATATTGAAAGGTAAAAAAAAAGTTGCACAATCTTAGTGACATTGGAATGCTCTTGGTTCCTTTTGGCAAAATGCAATCCACTTCATTCTTACATACAATTTCATCCAATGCATTTTACTTAAAATGTTTCATTGTTTCATCCTATTTTAATGATCGGCGTAAAGTATTTTCGCAGGTTTCGGGCTGAGGGAATTGCATGAATGCACTTGTCGTGGGCGATTGGTCAATCCGTCTTTTCCCACACGAAGGAACGTAACTCAATTCCAAGGTTGCGAGTCGACTCGAAAAATAAAATTTTTTATAACTTCGCAACTTTTGTTTAAAATTTCGCTGATTTTGGAGTGCGGTCTGGATAAAAATCAATGGAATTTTTAGTTAGGAAAGCCCCATATTTTTCCAGTAAAAATGCATTATGCGAATGAAAATTTTAGAACACTGCTTTTTAGTTATGTTCCTTCAACCGAGAGACAACGAATCGCGCTAGTTACAGAATTGCATTCCAATGGCTTAAGATGATCATAAAGTAACGAGAATAATAAGACATGTACAAGTGCCAAGTTTTCATGTCCAATATCTCCGAAGGTACCGCTCATCAAAAAACAGGGTGCATGATGTCATCCATCGCAGTAGTGCAAACAGTGGTTTCTTTCAACTCGGTTTTATCAATCAGGACTACGCATATTTGCACTGGTTACTCGATGTAAAACACAGAGGAGACCGAGGTGGAAGAAACCACTGTATGCACAACTGCGGTGGATTACATCATACTCCATGTTTTTGGATGAGAGATATCTTCGTTAAGTTAAAATTTTGCAGAATTCTTTCCGATTTAATGTTCATATTGGAGAGAAATCAAACACATCGTATTCTCTAATATAACATCACAAAAGTAATAATTCATAACGCATAATGCATAAGACCTGAAGCGCGACGCAAAGGGTTAGACTGTAAAGTAGTCAGGGGGCGTACCCCTAATTTCATTGAATATCACAAAAATCTATATTGCCGTGAATAAAGAACTGCGTTAAGGATTGGGACGAATCGGGATGAAAGGAAAGGGCAGAAACATGAAAAGACAGGGATAGAATAAGAGAGGAAAGACGAGATGAGCGCGCTTAATTGAATCGGTCAGTTACAGAAGGGCTCAAGCGTAAAAAATAAGAATTCGAGAAAAATGGTAATAACCGTTTTAATTGACCCCTTCTAAATCTCAGAGCTCTAAAATATTAAAGCGATGAATTATTTAATCGCAAAATTTTTATAGTCTACAGCTCAAGCTACAAACGAAATCATCAGAAAAATCGAAATAGAAATATTCTGAAATTTTCCTGGAAATTCGCTATGATCTTTATGAATTGATCTCCATTGACTGGAAAAAATAATATGCTGTTTTAGCACCTAACATGCTAAAAATGTGTCTGGTGATCCCAAGATACTGCCTTTACTGCCTTCGCAGTTGGCTTTTCATCCATGTGAATGCAAATCGACGGTGAAACTACCAAACCACGTATCTCGTTTGCAGTGTTTAAAAATCTACGCTCACATTTTATTTTTTTGAAGTAGACCAAATCAATATCATTCCTTGAAATTTTCACAGAATTTTCTCCGCACGAAAAGGAAAAATCGCAGACATTTTCAAGACTGGACGTTAAGTAGTTTTTCATTTAAAAAATAAAGTATGACAGGAAGTCTGCGACGTCGCAAACCGAGATACGTGGTTTGGTAGTTTCACCATCGAAATTCAACTGCATGGGCAATCAAGGCTTCATCTTAGGATCACCAGACACATTTTTCACATCCTAGATGATAAAACAAAATACCATTTTTTAGCGATTTTAAACGGGTTGGTACATACAGTTTCTACTGGTTTTTTTTTTCGTATTTTTATGTCTAGCGCTTAAGTCCTTTTGTAACTGACCGATTCAATGGGCCTCAATCTGATTCACCCAATAGTTTATAGATCCGATTTCCATCTAACTCCTTATCTCATTTTAGTTTTGTGACTTTTCTCGGGAGTGGTGTCCCTGGTTAAAGTCTGACTCAGGGTAGTTTATGATATGAAACATAGTCTGACGTCACGCTGACTCACTTTTGCTGGGGGTGATTCAAATCAACCTCCTCTAAACCTCTAATGTACCCAGACCGACAGTATTAATGACTGCTCGGAACGTGACGGCTGAGAAACTGAATCGCGCATCGCAACAATCAAAAATCCATTCATTTTCAACGGAGACTTAAACGCAAACATAGAAAAATAAACATTTCGCGGAAACTGAATACATGACACATATCATATACTCTATAACATAAAATCATAAGAGTAACTCGTAATGCATGAGTCTTGAGGTGCGAAGTGGTCAGGGGGCGTACCCCCTATAGTTCCATGTAATTTTTGGATACGTTGGAGAGAGAATTTAGAATAAAAATCTATTGAAAAATTCAAACACGAAACTCTAAAAGTTTTGTAGAGAATTTTATCACATGAAAGTTGACAACATCCGAATGCTCTACAGTGTTTTCCTACAGCGCAAAGAAGTACACTCAGGATCACCTCAGCACATAAAATACACTGGAAAAAAAAAACACATTGCAATGTGTTTTTGGATGCATTGCAATGGATCTAGAGTCCAGACTCTTGAAAACATTGACCGATCTTTGAATCCGATTGAATCAAGAGTATTTTTTCTTGAATGAAAACGAAATTCGCTTAAATTAAGAGGCTTGGTTCTTGATTTGAGCTAGAGTCTGATTGAATCAAGAGTACTTTTTCTGTCGATGTTTGTAAGAGTCTGGACTCTAGATCCAATGTGTTTTTTTTTTTTTTCCAGTGTCAGGCGGTCTCGATGCTGGGAGAGCTGCTTCCCTACGAGAAAAAAAAAAGTTTCCTCGACGCACAACATGTGAAAAAAAAAAACCAAAAAAAAAACGAATTAATCCTGATAAATCCGACAACGTGCTGAAGGAAGCTCGAGTAAATCCATTAATTTATGTTCCAGTGGCAACTGCCGGTGGGCCGTGCGTGCGCGCCACGCCGATGCAGGCACCACGAGCAACTATTTTAACTCCCCGGGGATCAAATTGCATACCCGATAAAATGAAGGAACTTTGAGTTGATCCGATCAGCAATGTGCGCCGTTACCGCAAGTTGGTTTTAACCTCAAGCGACATTGAACCATTTAAACTCGAACACAGAGGGAATCTGCTGATTTGTTGCTACTCGGTATAAAATGTATTAATAACATATTTTCTACCGTTTAACCGCTACAAGTGTCAAACTGAAATAATTGTGCCAACTGTCGCACTTTAAAACATGTTCTTGTATACATAGCAAACGATTCTATAAATCATATTCGATAAAGGTTCGATACATCGCTTGGTTTGAAACAATAGAGTATAACTTCAAACAAAAATTTTAGAATTTAAGTCGGAGAAGATGAAAATGAGAAAATTCCTTACAATTTTACTTTTTATTGCCATTTTGTACCCATAAGAATAAAACATCTATCACAAAAAGCCCGTTCTCTCAGATTACTCGATTGACTTTTGAGGCTATGTTTACATGTTGAACCAAATCTATATCGATACAATCTCACCTGTTTGATGTATCGAATACGATCAATTCTCATCGGCTTATTAAGACATTCTGACTTGCCGTCTTAGCGCTCCACAGATTGCCATAATATTGGAGGGACGTAAACTATGATAGCTCTATAAACGAGTGTAAAGTTATACAAACTTTCTGTATTGAAAATCTGCTTCATTTTTCTTTTCGCACCAAAAAATAATATGTGAATAACACGAGAAATAGCGGTTAAGCTGAAGCAACTGTGGAACATCTGCTGTAAGTAAAGCGCCTTCAAATTTTCAAGATGCAACAAGTTGGACACGACGGGTATCAAGTAAAGATCTAGTGAGCATATCTACCCTCGCCCCTTGTAGTATGAAAGAAAACGTCATTTCACCTCAAATTTTGAAACCCCAAAATAAAAAAAAACCCATATTTTCTTGGTTTCATAATTAACGTGTGAAATTTTAACACAACTTCACTGTTTACTGTTATGCCCTTATGTTACTATCACTTCAGTTATCTAATCATCAATAAAGTATGAAAACCCGGTATAAATTAAAACTTGCCACAGAGCCCCGATCTTTACAAATGCACGTAAACAAAATTCCAAATTAGTAATCCCGAATCTCGCACGTGTTTTCCCAGGCACTGGATACGGAAGGTATATTCGCGCATGTATCGTTTCGTTGCATAATCGGGGTTTATACGCGAGTAATTCCAACCCCCATTCACCCTCATTTATAATTCTCAGCTCTTTCATCTGAATGCTTTTATGGAAGTTTCTGGATTAGAACGGCACCAAAAGTCAACCAATGCATGAAATATTACCACTATATACGAAGGCTTGCATATTCCTAAAATGAAGAGAGTCTATTTTTTATAGGAAGTTGTGAGGAAGAAGTCTCTTAGATTGCGGTTTGTAATTTAATGGCCTCGACTATAATTTTACATTCCGAAATAGAAAAGTAGGTGTGTATTTTTTTTATTTATTTATTTATTTTTTTTTAGAACTCAATGAAGGAGAAGAGGAGGAAGGAGGAGAGGGGGATAGAGAAGGAGAGAAGAATACCTAGAGATCAAATGAAGAAAAATATAACAGGAGAGAAAGAGCAAAATAATAATAAAAAATATGAAGGAAATTGAAGAAAAGAAAGAAAAACAATAAGTAGAAACCAGTATAGATCAAGAAGGAGAATGAAAAAAAAAGGAGAAAAAAAGGAGGAAAAGAAAGAGAAGAAGAAAGAGAAGGGGAAAGAGAAGGAGAAGAAGAAAGAGAGGGAGAGGAGGAAAGAGAAGAAGGATAGGAGAAGAAGGAGAAGAAGAAGGAGAAGAAGAAGGAGAAGAAGGAGAATAAGAATAAGGAAAGGAGAAAAAGAAGAAGGAATAAATAGGAAGAAGTTAAAGGAAAGAAGACGAAGAGGAAGGAAAGAAGAAGAAGGAAAGAGGAGGCAAAAATTGGCTGAAGGTGTAAACTGTAGGAATTTATGCCCATTTGTATAGAGAGAATTTATCCACTTATGGTATGCTTGTTTTTATAGTCTTTCGTTTAAGTCTCCGTGGTTGCGGTTAGCGCAATCTCATGGCCCGACTTTCATTTTAAAGTCTGAATAAAATATAACAAATACAGTAATATTAGTTTTTAAGTGTGTGTTAAGAGTGATTTGAATAAATTACCTGTATGGAAAAACGACGTGACCGTATTGGCGGAAAGGGTGTGCTGACCAGGGAGCGGGAGATTCACAGTCTCATACTCAGAGTTTGCCTGTTTCCGGTAAAGTTCCAGCATGTGCGGCGGGATAAATGCCTTCCGTCGGTCCACGGCGGGTCGCGATGGCATCCGCAGCAAAAGCAGCAGGTTCGATTCGATCGATTTCGCCAGCTCGGGGTCCACGGAGCCGGAAATTTCCGGAATCACCAACGACGAGAACAAAAACACGAGGATCCACTCCATGGTGAAAGCGCCTGAAACACACCAACCAAACCCATGAGCATGAGCTTATTGTTTCATTTTCCTACTCAGCCGTGCAAAGGAAAAACGCCGTATGAGCATTCGAGAGTTGCCAACTTTTCTTCGATAAAATGCTTATTTTTAAGGAGAGATATAGATATTTTTCTTTGAAATTTTCAGGAGTTGTAGGTGAAATTGCAAATAAAATCATTTGAAAAATAGGGAGAAAAGGAAATTTGGCAACGCATGAAGGTTCATACGGCGTTCTTCCTTAGCACGGTACTGCCGTGCTAAGGAAAAACGCCGTATGAACATTCGAGAGTTGCCAAATTTCCTTCGGTAAAAAGCTCATTTTTAAGAAAATTTATGAATATTTTTCCCTGAAATTTTCAGGAACTCTATGTTAAATTACGAAGAAAATTATCTGAAAAATTGGAAGGAACATATTCATAAGTTTACCAGGAAATTCGTGCTTAATCAAAGGAGATTTGGCAACGCCTGAAGGTTCATACGGCGTTCTTCCTTAGCACGGCAGGATAGTACACATCAAACAAGAATTTAAAATCTACATGTTTACACGTATCATGTTTTTTCTACAAATAATACGAACTTTTTTTGATACACTGACTCAAATTCAAGATTATCTTCCTAGTGTGAGCAATGTCGATTTGGAATTTGGCAACTCTATTTCTCCTCCATTTAAATCCATTAAGAATATCGATTTTAGGTGAGGCAAGCTACCTCAACAAGAATCGATTGTTTCACATACATTTGCATGGAGGAAAAACAGAGTTGTTAACTTTCAAAAAACAGCTTGGAGTGTGATGTCATGTGTCACGTAATGCTGTACCCTTTTCTCCTCCTTGAAAATTCCGCCCCATAAGAGTGTGACGTAATTTATGGACGACCCCAGAACAGATCACTTCATGGCCAATCAAAAACTAATGAAATAACGTAACTGTTGGTCCAAGGAAAGAAGAAAAAATAACATTCTTCTTTATTTTGAAAAATACTTTAAGACTTACGGGCTGTTCGAGTCCCCCCTTCCCTGAAAAACCCCTTGAGCAAATAAAGTTTGGTTTAAAATAAAATAACGTGAGAAAATTGGCGATGCCACAAGCTGGTATTTTTGTGAATGGAGATTTGTTATAGTTTTGTGTCGATTGATACGGGATCTATTCAAAGAGTTAATCAACACCACACGTTGTACGGTAAGAAAGCAGGCTCAACACTGCGTAAAAAAATTTAAAAATTGGAGAAAGCTAAGCTCAAGTTCATCGAAATTTTTAATAAGTTTTGGTGAAAATATTGAAAAAAAAAATTGGATCCAAAAAGAATGGGGGGAGGGGGGAGTTATTCTCGATGACGTACGTTTGGTTATGGAGATTTGTTATAGTTTGTGTTGACTGATACGGGACTTAAGGTGATTCGACGGACACCATATTTTGTGCCAAAACGACATGCGATATGTCGCATCGATTGGTTCCATTTTTTCAGCTACTCGTCATTTTTTTCGCATTTCTGCTGTAATGAGACTAAAGAATTCATGTACTAAATTTGACAAAGAAATTCAAGGTATTAAAGGCGGGGTTTTTTCAGAGGAAAAATATCGCATTCGAGTGCAGTTTCGATATACGTATCGAATGCGCTATTTTTCCTCTAAAAAACCCCTGCCTTTATTACGTCGAGTTTCTTTGTCAAATTTAGTACATGAATTCTTTAGTCTCATGACAACAGAAGTGCGATCTTAAAATTAAAAAAAACATGAAAAGTAGCTGAAATTGTGGTACGAATTGATGTGATGTATCGCACGCCGCTCTGACACACAAAATGGCAACCGTCGAATCACCTTAAACGTCAAATATCATCATCAAACACGAAGTTACAAAATTTTCAGGATACAGCATAAAGTGTCCTTCTTTTCTAATTTTTCAATATTTTATCTTCTAGCCCATATTAAAGAGTTTAGCAACAGTGAGTAGAGAACTGAGTGGACGCGCCCGAGTTGTTAAGTTTCGCCAGTAAAGCGGCAAATCGCACTCATTTACGCTTCTTGGGGCCTGATGCCGATGCTATAAGTCATTCATAATGCACACTTCCAAACAATCTTTCACGTACTTTCACATGGTATTCCTACTCCCCCCTCCAGAATTTTAGAAACTAAGAGATTGGTGCCGAAAGGGTTACGAAAACGCGATTGCGAATGCACCCGTACTTTTTTACAGCTCGCATTTCTTCCTCCAACGAGGCTTTCCTTTAAGCTGTACTTATACGGATTGAACCCATGCAAATTATCATTCTCTTTTATAGTACTGTACGTTATTACCGCAGTTTTTCCCTCCAGACGCTAGAAAATCTGAAAATTTTTAATTTTTCACTGTGAGCGCGTGTTTTAGTTTTAATAAGATGACGAGATCCTCTGGGATAAGAGAATGAAATAGATTAAATTGTAAATGCTGCAATTCATATCGATGGCTAGAGTACGAAATCACGTGTCCCCATTGCGGTGTTTCAGTATCTCTGCTCCTATTTTATTTTTTCGTTGGAAAACAAGTTAACTATATCGCTTGATATATCTACAGAATATTCTGCTAATGGAGAAGAAAAATCACGGACTTTTCAAGGAAATTAAATTGACTATATAGTTTTCCAAAGAAAGAATAAAGTGTGACCGGAAGTCTGCAACGTCGTAAACGGAGGTAGATGGTATCGCACTTTAGCCATCGATATAAATGAAGTTACTGATGATCAGGTTAAAACAAGAGGGAAACATGTGAAAGCGCGGTATAATCCTATGTGTGCACCAATCACGCCATGGCTAGCCTTAAAACTCGTTTTCACTAGTACAGAGTAGGCAGATAGTATCGGTAGGTATTTGGAAAATAGGGTGGTCGGCTATATTTGGATTACATTTTGCAAGAAGGAACCACTATCTCAAGCTCTTCCATAAAAGGATTGCATTTCGCAAAAAGGAACTGGAAGAATCGCAAAAGGAAGAATCGCCGTGATGCTAAGATTGTGCAACTTTACCCTTTCCATAAGACTACAGTAATCGAGCAAAAATATGACATTTACGTGGATATTTTTGTCTTAAGTTTACAAGTTTTAGCGAGTAAAATAGAAAAATTTTGTAGATAATCAGGTTTTTCTTCCAGACAAAAGAAGTTACACAATCTTAGCAACATTGCAATGCTCTTGGTTCCTTTTTGCAAAATGCAATCCAAAAGCTGTTTTATCCATAGGGAAATCAATGGCATGTATGTTGTTCCTAAAATGAACAAGAAGTAATGATTCCTTATTGCGAAATGTGGCCTATTTATAACACCATCTGATAACAAATAAACCAAGAATAAATATGAGTAAAATTAAAAATTCGACAGAACTCACTTTGAACTGGAAAGCGGGAAGCCTCGAACATCACAAAACACACAACATCAATAAGGACGGCACAACACTTGTCAGAAGAGACAAGAAATACGGCACAACACTTGTCAGAAGAGAGCAAAAACACACGAAAAACTGTTCGAAATTCTGAGAGTCCATCAAAACCAACACGTCCTGCACGAGGAGAAGGTAAACAACACTGACACGGAGAAAAAAAACCGTAGAAGACGGAGAAAAAGGTTTCTGGGAAGAGAGGCCGAAGTCGCGGTGCCGAGGATCGCCAAAAGAACTAGACAGGCCGACGCTAGGATTGTCACTACTGTCAGACAGTTTGGCTCCTTAATTACCCCCTTGCCGCCACCCCCGCCCTCGAAGGCACCGCAAGAGCACGTGCGTGGTTGACCGGTCCGGCAAATCCCAAGAGGGTTGGCGGAGGGGTAGGAGCGGAGTGGGGGAGGAATCGGGCAGCCCGCTTCCTGGGATACCCCCCGATTCCCGGCTCTGGAGCCGAGGCGCTCGCAGACTGCTTGGCTCCGAAAGCGAAAATCCAGGCGGCATGGCTCCTCTCCGTCGTTCGGCACCCCGTTTCGAGGGGCCACGTGGGTCCGTCTTGCAAAACTTGACTCCCCTCACCTGCTCGCGCCGTTCGGGATTCTATGCTCTCGTGGACGGCCGAAAAATCCTCGATATTTTTAAAAAAAAAATATGCCGCCGCGCTAAGGAAAAACGTCGTATGGGCCTTCGGGCGTTGCCGAATTTCCTCTGATAAAATACGAATTAATTCGGAAAATTTAAATATTTTTCTTCCAATTTTTCAGACTATTTTGTTCGCAATTTAATCTAAGATATCTGAAAATGTTAAGGAAAAATATAAATAAATTTCGTCGAGAATACATGTTTTATCTGAGGTAATTTGGCAGCTCTCGGGTGTTCATACGGCGCTCTTCCTTGCGAGCCATTTAAACGTAAGATATCACCATCAAACACGAAAAATTTTCAGGATAAATCTATGCTGATTTATTATTCGATGCGATTCTATGCTCTCGTGCTCAGCCGAAAAATCTTCTGTATCTATGCTGCCGCGCTGAGGAAAAACGCCGTATGGGCCTTCGGGCGTTGCCAAATTTCTTTTGATAAAATACGAATTCATTCACTGGAAGAAACACCACATTGGATCTAGAGTCCAGACTCTTGAAAACATTGACAAGAAAAAAATACTCTTGATTCAATCGGATTTTTGCTTGAATCAAAACGAAATCCGCTCAAATTAAGAGGCTTGGTTCTTGAGTTAAGCTTAAATCTGATTGAATCAAGAGTATTTTTTCTGGTCGATATTTTTAAGAGTCTGGGATCTAGATCCAATATGTTTTTTTTCCCAGTGAAAGTTATGAATAGAGCTCTTCCAATTTTTCGGTAAATATCGTTTGGGGTTTAATTAAAAATATCCAAAAATTTCAAACAGGACAAATATGCATAACTTCCTTCGAAAATAAACATTTTATCGGAGGATATTTGGGGATATTTGGGATATATCGAGAGGTAACTCTCGAGTGTTCATAGGGCTTTTTCCCTCAACAAGGTCATGGCTAAAATGCGAATCTTCGTTTCCGACAAAGCGGATTTCTGCCGTGCTGAGGGAAAACGCCGTGTAAGCATTGAAATGCTGCAAATTGTCTCTCAGAAAATATTTATTTTGAGGGAAGTAATGAATATTTTTCCTTTAAATTCTCAGACACTTCAGATCATATTACGACAATACATTCTCCGAAAAATCGAAAGAAACCCCGAAATCCGCGATTCGTCGAAGAGAACATGGCAACGTCTGTAGTCTGATGAAGAGTATTCTTCAAAAACAGGTCTAAAGTAGTGATCAGTGGTTTTAGATCAGCCTACAGGAATGTTTCATTGTTTTTAAATCGCAAATCAGCACTGCCTTAAATGTGAAAGCATTATTTTCCAAAGTGATGAGTAACTATTGAAAAGAATGCTGAACATGCTTATTGGGTCCAATAGACGTCTCGGCAATGAAAGACTTAAACGCAGGGTAAAGAATAACAACCGCAACTCGGTTGATTACCAACAGTCCTCAAAAATACTGTTAATGTTTTCAGACGACCTGTAAACGATAAACAATAAACATGTCGCTCCTCTGACGTGAGAATGAATCTCAATTTCTACATGAGCCTTGTTCTCCGTATGGCTCTATGCTTTCCACGGATCATGTAAAAAAGAGGTACACCCACACACTGGAAAAGTGGCTATGTGTGCCGGTTGATGACGCGAACCATAAGTCCAAAGAAGGGATGCTATCCGCTTTATTTTCAAGGGATTGTATCTTTTTTAAATGCATAAATGACCTACACTCAGATTCAATTATTTTATAGCGGTATGACCATCAGGACACGATTCTCAAACCCTCGCAACTATATCTCCTCTTGTCGTGCGAGGCACCTGTAATAGATAGATGACCATTGTCAAAACTTCATCTTGATTGCATAGGAGTGCTCCCCCCTCCTTTTTTACCTTATTACAAAGCGTTCCTCCGCCTCCCCATCCCTCACCCCCTCGGCTTTTCGACCCTCAACGCGCATCCCCCTTACCCCTCCGCTCTTTGAAGAGCCGCGTCGCACAATGGATCGGGTCAATGGGAGAGATCGGACATGAAATTTTTGCAAATTTTGATGTTTATTTCGTCACATTTTAAATTTCAAGGGGTGCTATAAGATGAAAATTTCACGAGGAAACAAATGGGACCACTTTTAGAACCTCAAAGTTATGAATAGACGGAGTTATAAGCCTTTGAAGTTTCCAAATTTTGTCCGACCTCTCATACTGACTCAATCCACTGTGCGTCGGAGGCTTTGGATGACCAACATCGCACCTCAAGACATGGCGGGCGGCCGGACAGCCAGGCAAAAGCACCTCAAGGATATTTATAGTCCGTAATCTGCAGGATCCACCCTCAGGGATCCCTTCCGACAAAGGTGAGAAAGATAGGTCCCGTTATCGTCCATGGGATTTGACCCTTCACCTCTCCCTCGCCCTTTTATTAAGCTTGTCTTTTTTATTCGTGTCCTTTGCGTGTTTTGGGTTGCGCTCGATATCGAATCAGTGGAGTGGAGTGTTTTGCGGTATCGGTGGCGTGGCGTGAATTGCGATCTATCGATTGTTATTCCATTTAAACCTATTGTAAAGAATCGATTATTAAGGAGTTTGCTGCGAACACCCTGTTTATCGATTCTTTTCCATAGGTTTAAAAGGCATAACAATAGCATTTTTACATGTACAGAAATGCTTTGTACCGTTCCATTTGCATAAACTGAACAAAATGTGAAAACTTGACATCATTCAGCGTGATGTGTTGTTTGAAAATTCTGAAGGAATGTCTTGAAACCCAGAAATCATCAATAATTGGACTGCATTTTGCAATTTGGAACTACAAATTCTGGCTCAACTGAAAAAACACGTATGTGCATAGGGAAACTAATGGCAAATACGTTGTTTTAAAACCGGGCCAGAATTTATAGTTCCAAATTGCAAAATGCAGTCCAATTGATCCATCGACCATCGAATCGCTCCCTTAAGTGGTGCTGATCAATCTGAAGGGAGGATAAGTTGGGCCACATTTTGCAGCTGATCAAGAACTACCATTCCCGGCTTTTAGAAACAGAGTACGTGCCATTCATTACCTTATACACATAAGTGCTTTTACGGATTAGCCATAAATTGACGTTTCTAACTGCAAAATGTAGTCCAATCTGTTAATTATCTAATCTAATGGCTCTGAAAATTTGGGAGAAAATATTTATAACTCCTCTCTCGAATGATATCGGCGTGAAATTTGGCAATGTTCAAAACAGCCAGTTACTTGGTAGTTGTTACTTAGCGGCGACAGCGCAGTGAGGTGTTAACATAATAACACATACATACATGCGCTTTGACACTCCGGGAGAAGGAAGTCCCTGCATTCTTTCCGCCTTTTCCTCCACCCGATTCAAACCCGGTTCTACCGTGCTAAGGAGAAACGCCTTATGAGCATGCGAATGTTGCCAAATTTCTCCTTGAAAATATTTGATTATGAAGAAAGTGAATACTTTTTTCCCGTGAAACTGTCAGATTATTTAGATGGAAATACGAGAAAAATTGTCTGCACAATCCTGCCGTGCTAAGGAAAAACGCCGTACGAACCTTCAGGCGCTGCCAAGTTTCCTCCTTTAATATCCGAATTTACCGAGAAAATTGTGAATATTATTTTACAAAATTTTCAGATATTTTTGTAAGCAATTTAATCTAAAAAATCTGAAAATATCAGGTAAAAATATGCATGGATGTTGTCAAAAATACATGTTTTATCAAGGAAAATTTGACAACTCTATTTTTGTAAGCAATTGAATCTAAAATACCTGAAAATATCAGGTAAAAATATGCATGGATTTTGTCAAAAATGCGTGTTTCATTTTGGCAATTCGCGAATGTTCATACGGCGTTCCTCCTTAGCACGGCAGAATTGGAGGGTAGGTATTTATGGATGTCCTCAAAAATTCATGATTTGTCCAATGAAATTTGGCAACGTTTGCGGGCCAATACGACGTTCTTCCTTACCATTTCTTCGTCGGATGATGCCCGAGCCGTCCGTGATCCGAGCTCCGAGGCCGTGGGAAACTCCAAAAACGGGCCAAAGTGCAAGCGGCCATTCATAATTTTTGCATGCCGCGTTCAAGCCACAGGCCGTGGAAATACCCGGACCAAAGGCCCAACGGGAAATTCGGAGAGATGAGCCGCGTCCGACTACCTGCGGCCATCGGCTGTCACAGAAGGGGTGGGAACCAACGCTTGTTGCCAGATCTCCGCAATAATACCAACGAACCACTGAAGTTTTTGCGAATCTCTGCCATATCCTGCAACAACACAGCGTCAACCTGTCTAGCGGTGTGTAGACAATGACCTCTCTCTTGGCCTCTCTCCCCCTCCACGACTTTCTCCCTCTCGCGGTCTTCTACCCCTGCTCCGACCCGCTAAGGAAGAATGCCGTATGAGCCTTTAGACGTTGCCAAATTTCCTATAATACAATACGGATTTTCAAGGAAACTTTCGGATATTTTCCTACAAAATTTACAAAGAATTTCATTCGAGATTTGATCTAAAGTGGGTGGAAATTTCAAAGCCAAATATTCTTGACTTGCCTATGAAATTAATGTTTAACGACGGGAATTTTGGCAATTCCTGAAGGCTCATACGACGTTTCTCCTTAACACGGCAGGGTTGAAAGAAATGCAATGACCTCCGTCTTTCGTATGCAAGATCCCTTGATTTATGGCCTGTTTACCAAATCCACTCTTTACCAGCACGGCCCTCTATTCACTATTCAGCTTTGCTAGGAAAGAACCGTATGAGAATTTAAACGTCGCAACATCGTTCCGACTTAAATTTGTATATGAAATAAAAGTTAAAACCAGAATTCCTTAAAATTGTTGGCACCCGGATAGAAAAAAAAGGTAACAAAACAATCTGGCTATTCATGATCTCTCCCAAGTAGCAGTGATCGCGATTAGTTGCGATTTGATCGAAAAATGTATCGCGATTTTAAAGACGTCGATTTAATACAAATATTATCGGATAAAAAATTGCGATTTCATCACGTAAATTTGCAATAAAATAGCTATTTTATCGACGGCGATTTATCGCAATATTATCAAACTAAAAATCGCGACGGATCGAGATAAAATTACGATTCTATCGAACACGATTTTACAGAAATAAAATTGCGACAAGATCGAAGATAATCGCCTAAATGTTGATGATTCCAGCGATTTTATCGCCACAAAATCGTAAAAAAATTGCAACTTACTTTCAAAATATCGCGATATTAACGTTGAAAAATGCTACTCGGGCTAAGAATTCAGGTTGCAGTGACTGCATCACACAGTAAGAGAGAGCAACCAACATTTTGAGTTATTATGGGAAGTAGAGCAGAAAGTAAACTGAAACTGGGGTTCAATATTTTTTGGTTAGTTTTCCGGTGAATTACATTGACTAAATCTTTGGGTTGAAGATTTGCATTCCCGTTAAAAGTAAAGTGAAATCCGCCAGGATTAGACATGGATCGCGTTGGTCATGGTAAAATGTGCCAGCCAATCGCAAGTCGCAACTTCTACGCGACATCAAGAGACACAAGAGTATACATTCATTCAGCCGGAAACTTTCTTCATCCACAGATGTCTCAGAGTAATCTACGGTTTCGGTCAATTTAACCAAAAACTGTGTTGAGCTATCAAGTCCCTTCGGTTGATCTAGCCGGCAAAAAGTAAATCAAAGTAGCCCTAAGTTACCATAAACACGGAACTTTTCAAGTGAGCAGATTTTTGACAGTGTTATCCATATGTATTTGCATTAAATAGACAAATAATCAACAGAATCTGACGCTCGTCATTGCATTTGAATAGCCAGACTGTATAAAAATATTAAAAATAGCCTGGACAGTCTATAACAGGCAAGACCATCCTTTTTTCGTGGAGATAAGAATATATATCGTCACCTTCCGGCCAAAGTATATGTATCACAAGCGCCATGCGACGTTTAAAAATTCCTGCTGCCATTTTAATTTTTTACAGAGAAATTGTTCAACGAAGCTGTCCGAAAATTTCACGGAACTTTTTTTGTGCTGCCGATAAAATTCAGTGAAATGTTCCAACAGATTCGACAAAATTTTCTCTGTAAAAAAAGGGAACGGAAATTTTTAAACGTCGCATGGCGCTTGTGATACTTTGGCCGGAAGGTGACGTTATGTTGATCTCAATAATCGATCTATCAAACTTTCTCACTTAGAATTCTGAATCACCCTGAATGTTTAGTTTATGACACGATGAAGAGGGGTAAAAATTTCAATTAAATAATTATAAAAGGGGTTGACTTTATTACACAGAAAAAATACACTGGTATCTTAGTCTTTGAAATCCTTAAACTAATCAGTTTATTTACATCAGTTCAGGAGTCTCTTGCAATTCTGCTACTCATCTCCACACGCCAATGAGAAGAAAAATAAATGATAATTTAACTCCCGTTTCCACCTTTTAGTTCCCAATTTGCAGGGGAAATGTGCGATCGCGGAAAATCTCACTTCACACGACGATCTACGACGCTGCGTCCAACTAATTTATAGTTGAAGTCCCATCAGTGATCGGTGATGCAAGTAAAGCGATTGACGAGGCCACAAGAATTCAGGAGAATCTACCCGGCTCGTTTATTTTCACTGTAAACATAAAAAGAAATGCATGTTCAATTTTAAAAGCAAAATTACGGAGGTTTACTGCCATGCTGAGAAATAATGTCAAATGAAGATTTAAGTGTTGCCGAATTTCTTCCAATGAAAAGCAACGTTTGCTCGATTATATAATGAATGTCGCAGACACTTAGCAATCGCCGCACAATGGAACGAGCTAAAAAGGGGGTTCGAGATGAAATTTTTGGCCAAAATTTCAAATTTTCATGTTTATTTTATCACATTTTAAATTGTAAGAAGTGCTTGCAGGAGAAAATTTTACAGGGAAATCGATAAAACCATTTTTAGAACCTCAAAATTTTGAATAAACGGAATTATAAGCGTGCAAAGTTTCCAAATTTTGTCCGACCTCTTCCATTGACTCGATCCACTGTACGCCGGTGCAAGTTCCTTGTGATGAAAGGAGATACCTGTCACATTTTCGAAAAAAGAGTCGGAAGTAGTTTTAAGCTCAACACACCGCATATATTATATTCAATGTCTAAAAAGAATATTTTGAGGGCCGAAAACAGCCCCTCAAACTTGATCTCTAAAATTAAGTTAAGTACGTAGAGAAATAGATATTGAAAAACTCTAATCGTGAATACCCATGTTTTGCCCTGCTTTTGTTTGTTTTTGACACTGAATATTAATTAAGGTTGACAATTGTAGACCCTCTAAGCTGTGTGCCAAAATTCCCTCTTAGAATTTTGGAATTCCCACACCATTTGGCATTTCTGCTCTCACAAGAAAGAGAGAAAAACAATACAAACTAAAACTGTTTTTGTGTAAAATTCCAAAAAAAGAGTAGAAATCTGCATTTTCAAAATCACAGATATACGCATAATTCGACGCATCCATGGATAATTTTTTTTTCTCCTCGAAGCTAAACGAGTTAAAATGGCCAAGATAGGCGACGTTAAAATGCGAGTATACGATAAGAATTTGAATCAGTCTTTTTGAAAAAGACTTAAGTGCTAGAAATGATTTTACGGCGAGAAAAGCAGTGGAATGTTCATTTATCGAACCATATTAAATCCCAGGATAATTCATAATGTGATATATTAATTACTCGCTTTAATATTGTAGCGCTCTGAGTTCCAAACAGCGAGTTCTCCAAAATAGTTTTTACTATTTTTCTCGCATTCCCATTTTTGGCGTTTACATCTGTTTCAGAATGGAGAAATGGTCTTTCCTCTGTGGTATACTGCCGTTTTAAGGAAAAACGCCGTATGAAAATTCGAGAGTCGCCAAATTTCCTTCGATAAAATATCTATTTTTGAAGACATGTATGATTATTTTTTCGATAAAATTTAGAACGTAGGGTAAAATTGCAAATAAAATTATCTGAAAAATTGGAAGACAAATATTTAAAAATTTGCCCAAAAATTCGTGATTTACCAAAGGAAATTTGGCAGTGCATAAAGGTTCATACGTCGTTCTTCCTAACCACGGCAGTATAGTGGCTTTAGCGAGTAAGAGCAATGTAAGAGGCCCTTTGTAAGAGGTCCCGGGTTCGATTCCCGGCCAGGTGCCCTTAGATTGATGGTTTTAGGCAGTGGTCACCTGGGGCTGGGATGGATAATAATCGTGGGATTAGCCGATAGGCTATTTGAAATTAGTAAAAGAAAAGAGAAAAAATACAGATTCGATAAAGTACTCACTTTCAGTTAAGTAGACACAAATGAGAACGGTTATGGAAAGGATCACAGTCATGGCGGTCACTAGAGCAGTGAGTTGATGAGATTCGCACCAGCATTTCTTGACAGGCTTCCTGCGCCATCGTTCCATGCCTCCGACTAGAGTGAAGTGAGTTGATGAGGCTAAAGATGCCGTGTCCAGCTGTTTGCCCTTTTGATGACCGCTGTTTTCCAGTCTTTTAAGGGCTGCTAAGTTGGCGACCGTCAGACTCAGGAGTAAGCTGCCTGAGGTCCCGCTCTGAAAGTCAAAAGTAAGGAGTTAGCTCCCGTGGAATGAAAAATTTGACCAGCACGTGTGCGTGGTTTACGACTTTCCCTAAGGGGCAAAATTCGCTCACGGTGATGGAGAGATGGAAGGGGAGAGCACTATAGCAGTCTGAGGGAAAACTTAAAAATCTCTGAGAACTTTCGAATGACCAAAGTTGTTCTAAATCACAAGATGAATGGGATGATAATGTGAAAAATATGACAGAATCTGCCGAATGGCCGAGGTCAAAACGGATTTCTAAGTTTTTTGAATTTGGCGAGATTTAATCATTCTTGGGGGGGGGGGTCCATCAATAATTTTGAGATGCATTTAGTTCCAGGGTAAATCAGCTGTGTTATTGCCGCCTAAAAAACGAATTAAGATTGCACATACTGTAGGTAGGCGATTTAATCTGTTCATTAGGAGCTTGGATGGAAAAAAACCGAAAAAGGAAAAAAATCGCATAAGAATTTGCCGTATCACATTTTTCACTTTTTTCCTATAAGAGGTACGCCAAAGAGATACGCACACGTCTAAACTTCATCAGAGAACATGCTTCGGGAAATGATGAATAATTACGTTACAAGACAGCAATGATGAGTTTCGTCGCAGAAAATAAGTAGAAAGAAACAAATTTGCACCATTTAAAGGTATTTGAATGACACTAGACAAAAAGTCACGTATTGCCTCCAGAATCAAAATTGTGTCCAGTGGATATACTGTATGCTATATGTACCGCAGTCGCTCTTGTTCACTTCGACTATTGACTGATTGTGAGCGTGCTGCGTGCACTTAATTTTTGTATCTTGTTGCGCCTTCAATTTAGGATGATGCGATAGTGTATACAAGGGAGCTAAGTTCGAAGTGAACGCTCATGCAGGGGCGAGACAGTTATTGAAACCATCAACAGGTGTTAAGCAGACATCAGTGTGGTGCTGGTGCCAATAACGCGACGTCGGACAAAAATAACACATGGTCTTGTAAAATCAACAACCTTTTTAACAAAACGCTAAAAATTAATACCCAACTCTTAACGACTGGCATTGAAGCTGACTTCAGTAAAAATTAGCAGGGAATTTTGTCAGAAACGGCGAAAACCCGTCATTCTGACACGTACAAAAAATAATTATAATATTTCTGCGTTTAGAAAATGTATCAAAAACAACAGAATTTTCGTAAAGAAACAGCTTACCTGAGTACTTGAATTACTAGAGGGAGATATACTAGAGTCGCCATAGTTCTCTGACACATTTGTTTCAGTTGTCAAATAGGAGTATGGTTGACTTTCTCCATCCGAGCTGTTTTCTGGTTTTGGGTCACTTTGGCACTGGTAAGAGAGCTGCGAGGAAGAATTTCTTGTCAGCAGGACTGGCCTTGGTATGGTCCAAGGAAGGGTTTGCTCTTGAGATACCAATGAGGGGCTATGTTTCTCATCTACTATCGAAACATTCTGCAACAGAGAGAACCAATTTTTTTTAATATAATTTCCGAGGGCTACTTATTCAGATGCATGTAAAAGACTTCACTTGGCTTTATTAAAGACACACGTGGCAGGCGTGGCAAATGTAGGATTTTAAACATTATTTAGACGTAATGAAGTTTTAATCTTTATATAATGGAATATACGTAAAAATAAATGCCACGTAAGACATCTTGAGCATCGAAATTTTGGTGAAAGATCATGAGACTTTCCCAGAATTTATTAATATGATGTCACATTATTTCTGTTACGCCCCGTCTGCAAAATTGGTCGATCTGGTCATCCTCGTTACCGAGTCTGTGAACTAGCCGGTCTAAAGTCTAAAAATTATGCCAACGGGTCGATCGTTGATTTTAACTACAATCCATACGTTAACCGACAAATGTCACCCTTTGACCGATCTCTGACAACTATTTTGGGATTTTTAATAAAACTTACAAGTCTCACAATTACAACAATTCACTTCAAAAGTTTACAGGTTACGTAAATCAAGTTTAAAATTAATTATTTTAAATTTCTTTCAGGATTGTTTTTAATAAAAATTTTAAAGTTTTTTTATTTTACCAGCCCGGTATCTAAGTCAACAAACCCGATCAATAAAAATGTATTTTACCTATCCAGGGACATATGAATGAAACTAATAGAAAAGGGATAATTCTCGGTGAAAATATCCAACAAAGTCTGGTTAGAAATTATTTCAAAAGTTGGAAATAGGAAAATCAATCAAAGCATGAAATTCGTTGACCACTCAGAGAGCGGCACTTTTTTTTTCTAAATAGGCACTCTGTTATGCAAAAGCTACGATTCAAGACAACTCCCATTCGTTTCTGAAGAGGTATGGAAAGTGAAAGTGCCTTCAATTTTAAACACGCAACACGCACACTCTCGGAACACGAATAGTTGCATGAAGGCGCTACCGTCAACTCAGCCTAGCCTTTGTAAAGCGGAAACGCATCCACTTTTATAGCTTTATGTGTGAGCAATTTATCTTGCTTACGTAGAGAACATTCGATATTGAGGTAACCCCCATTTTGAAAATACCACTTAATTTTTAGACGAGCACTCATTCTTGGCATAGAGCACCACCAGATTTGATGTTAATCTGAAGTTTAGAGCTCTTATGCTATCCGGGAAATTCCAACTTCTTGCATATGCATTATTCAGACTGCTAAAAATGTAAAAAAATGTGTTTCTCCATTTCAAGTTTGGAAAGTTGCAAAATTATGTAATTATGTATGTAATTTTTGTATGTAAATTTGATTATATAACTTTTTTTAAAAAAAATTTTTCGAAAAAACTAATTAGCAATCTTCAATAAAGAATTCATAAAAAGGTGTCAAAATATATTCTCAATATCTTTGATGAATAATATTTTAAAACAACGAGAACAATTTAAACAAAAATATCAGGAAAAACTGTTGGTTAGTTTTTCTTTAAGACAAATAAATATAACACATGTGAATACGTGCAATGTCGTGATCGAAGCTACGGATTTCTTACTTTTTCAGCGCTAGATAGATAACTAGTGCATGTATGTACATGTGCACTGCTTTAACGGCAGTACTTAAGAACACGTGATTTGGAATTATTGATAAGTAAAAAAATCAAATCTCAGTAAAAGCTTGTACTTCTTAGATCAACTCGTTGGGGGGTCTGATCGGAAAACTAGGATTCCTGCGTATCCACACTTGTAGTAGGAGAATGGAGATGCACGCTGCATAATTTGCGGAACCTACTCGAGGCAATGAAATCATGCTATGTCATCCGTGCGCTCTATTGGGAGTTCTATTTATTTATGCACTTGCTTATTATTCACATACTACATTGCCACATCGTTCCATAAATTCAGTTCGATGTGGGCATGTACTCTTTCATGAGCAGTCGTAGACCGATTAAGGTATAGTGATTATGCCATTCTTTCAATGTTCGATTATTCTAATACAAAAAATTCAGCACAGAACTTTCTGCAAAATAGAGTACTCTGGAAAAAAAACAAAACAAATTGGGTCTAGAGTCCAGACTCTTAAAAACATCGACAAGAAAAAGTACTCTTAATTCAATCAGAATCTAGCTTAAATCAAGAACCAAGCCTCTTAATTTAAGCGGATTTCGTTTTGATTCAAGCAAAAATCCGATTGAAATGATTGAATCAAGAGTATTTTTTCTTGTCAATGTTTTCAAGAGTCTGGACTTTAGATCCAATGTGTTTTTTTTCCAGTGTAGCTTTGTTAAACCAATGGAGCGCTTGTATGTGTCAGGAATTTGCGATTTAATTACTAATCTCTACTAAATATTCAGCAAGAAACGCAATAGTGCCACTGGTTTTCTCTGGAACGAACTCTAAAGCTCAAAAAAGCTCTTAAAGCTAAGGTCGTAATGGAGGGGATATCCCACGCTATCCCGAGATTCCACCTCTATATCATGTCAAACTCTTCGTGCAAAGATAAGGAGAAAATACATTGACAGGGTTGCCACTTTGTTTGGGGACTCCAAAACTGAAAACACGGCAGCCCTGCTAATGCATTTGCTCCCTAATTTTGCATGGAGAGTTTGTCTTGATATCGAGGTGGACTCTTAGGACAGCGTGGGGTATCCCGTCCATTAAAGCCTCAACTTTGAGACCTTTTTTGAGCTTTGAAGTTCATTTCAGAGAAAATCAGTGGCACCATCGTGTCTCTCGTAAAATTCTACAAAGGAATCAGTACCTAGTTAAATCGCAAATTCCTGACGCATGCAAGAGCTCCATTACTCAACTTTTTGGCATCATCATGCGAATTTGAACAGAGACCTCCGGAAGTAACTTCCACACTAAATTAGAAGATAGCAGTGCCGGGTCTCAAAAACATTTTGCATCTATTTACAGTTGCCTTTCAGAATAAAACCTCACAATAATCATTGAGCCTGTTAATTTTAGACTCACGCTCCCACTCATACTAGCGCATGCGTGTTAACTCGACAACGCAGCGAAGATGAGAACTCGCTCGGACTGATATTGGCGCGATGGCATACTTCCGGCTATTAGACTACAACGAACAACACTCATCTCGTGTAATTATTGTCGCGAATATCAACTCCCTGTCGGACAGCAATTAATACCGTTTAGAACCCATAAAATTTCAAATCGCGTCTTCGTCGATTTGAGCGCTCAACTGCTTCCGCGAGAATCCCTTGCCCCCGCACTCCCCTCCCATCTTTGTATTCTGCGCTGGGGTTTGGTTCATGGCTACGGATACCTTGAACTTGTCTTTATACTGCCTGTCCGAGAAAATGATACCTAGACCCCTAGAGACCCCGAACTATGTCTTCACATGGTATGAAAGTTACTGCCAGAAACTAATACAGTTTGATACTTCAAGGTGGAAAATTAGAAAGAGAAGAAGAAAGAGGGACGGATGAAGAAGAAGAATGAGTTGAAAGAAGAGTCCGAGAAAATGATACCAGGAGACCCCGAACTATGACTTCACATGGTGTGAAAGTTTTTGTCAGGAATTTATACACTTTGAGACTTCGAGATGGATAATAAGAAAAAGAGGAAAAAAGAGGGACGGATGATGAAGAAGAATGAGTAAAAAGAAGGGTATAGAGGAGAAAAGGAGGAGGAGGAAATTGGACTAGGAATTATATCATTTCCACTTTTTATACTATAGATATCGATATTTTTATTTTTGTATGTATATTTCCTCGATGGATTTCGCCCAGAGGCAATTTATTTTGAAAACCCCGCACTGCTTTATACTGCCTTGCTAAAGAAGAGCGTCGTATGAGCCTTTAGACGTTGCCATGTTTCATTTGATTACAAACGAATACACTGGGTAAGTTGTGATTATTTTTCTTCAAATTTTCCAAACAATTTTACATATCTTTCCTTAAAAATACCTGTTTTATACGGGATATTTGTAACTCTTGAATGTTCATATGGCGTTCTTCCTTAACATGGCAGTAAAGTGTAAAAGTTACTATCGAAGTTCAACGCTCAGATTCTTTTGATGATAACTGTAGACCAAAACGGAACAATCAGTTTAGCAATCCTTGTCTAGTTTGCAAAAACTTGTCTGGAGAAGTGTTCAACTTGACATTCATCAGTCATCGTTAAGCGAATTTTCTATTAATTTTTACTCAATCATTTTCTCATCTTTGCCATTAGGTGAAAAGTAGCGTTGCCCTCCAAACTGGAACCCTCCTTTGGTATCACTCGGTTCCATAGCTCAGATGATTGGTGCGCCCGAAGTATCATTTCAATAATTTCGTTTTGGCATTGCATTAGAAAAATGCTCTTTTACCATCGAAGTTAAGCAACTTGTTTGACCTGTAGTCTGGGTTCAAATGTGAGAGCGCGATAAAAATTATGATGCGCGTTTATCAGCGGAAAAGGATAAAGTTGAAATGTCGCACAGTGGATCGAGCCAATCAGAGCGGTCGGGCATGAAATTTTTAACTAAAACTGAAAATTTTGATGTTTAATTCGTCACATTCCAAATTTTTAGGAGTTCACCTTGGAGAAAATTTACCGAGGAAACCAATGGAACCAATTTTAAAACCTCAAAGTTTTGTATGAACGGAGTTATGAGCTTTTAAAGTTTCCGAACTTCGTCCGATCTCCCCCGCTGACTCGATCCATTGTGCGGCGGCAACGGGGACTCGTTTGAGAGAATCATGTTGGAATTGACTTGTACAAGAACTCAATTCGAAAAAGTATTAGGTAAAACCTTTCTGGTTTTAAAAAACAGTCAAAAGTTGAAAAATTACATGAGACCTTAGAGGTGTGGTATTGGTTCTTGATAAGCTATCAAAACGGGCATGGTGTGACCAAAAATAATTTTTTTTAACGGTGTACCGTAAAATAGTGACAATGAATTTACCAGAAATGCATGGTTGCATTTAAACCCATCTTAAAAGTGTAATATATACATGTATATTTTAGGAACTACAGCTCTCTAACCGAGGAACCTATGCACTTTTTGTATTAAAGT